ATGCATCATCTACTTATACAGAAATTCTCTTCCTTCTTTTGTAAATCGTATATCTTTCCGCAACGAAGAAATTGTTTTTAGCAAAAAGTTAGTTAATTTCAATTATTTGCGTAATTTTGAATATTAAAGCTTCTATTTTAAGCAGAAATGCTACATTCTCTCTAAATGAAACATAAATATACATTTTCTTAAATGAAAAATTGAAAATTTTTTATAAATAGAAATGAAATGGAAATTTGTAAATGAAATGGAAGCAAAAAGTGGATCTAAATGAGACAAGGGAAAAAAATGAAAATTATAAAAATAATATCACTATATAGAGTTAAAAATTCAATCAGGTGCAGTTATGAGACCGGAAGACTTTCAATAATACATATGTGCAATCGAGAAATCTAAAGGAATAGAAAGTAAACTTCGATAGTCGAAAACTCAATGGAGCTTTTGTATGATCAATCTGGAATCATGTGATCTCAGAAGAATGTAAGGTGCACAAATACATCTTTATCGCAGTATGTGTAAATATATATATATATAGTTGGCAATTCGAGCTCGCGGATATTCCTGCTTTCGCAACGCAAAGTCGCGTCGCGTCGAGTGCATCGAGCAAACCCGTCATTAAAGTCCTTTCTTTTTCGTTCAAAGAGAGCCGGTTTTGTAATATGTTCGCGGGCTTCGTTTCATCATGACATTTGATGATCTGTTTCGAGGACTTTTTTTCTGCACCTACTCAAAAAAAAAAGAAACAATTAGCTCCACTCTTCATATTTCCCCCGCAAAATCAAATTTTAAATCATCAAAAACTTAATTTCATAAAAGAAATACGAAAATTCACCTTTTGCTACATTCGATCCCAAATTCCGTCAGATTAACAAAATTTTATCGAAAAAAATGGCAAAATTGGAATAATTTAATTGAGAAATAAAGTAAAAAGGAAAAATTGACAATTTGAGAGTTTTACATGCGATTTCTTTGGAAAGAGAGAAGAAACTGGAAGAGGGAGGAGGAGGTGAAAAAAATAAGAACTCGACTAAACGTCCCTGGCTAAGGATAAAACGCCATTTGGCACAAGGTCATCCACATTGGTACACGAACGTTACTTATATACATTTATTTACGTGCAGAAATGGATATGTGCAATGGAAAATGAGTGCGTGTGCGTATGGGCGCACATCACAACAATAAGAAAATTAATACTCCATAAACTAATAGAAATCCAAACAAAATAACATCTTAATAATATCAACAAAAAGACTCAGCATCCATTACTTAAAAAACAAATTCTATTTTTCCCAACTATTAAATATTTATTAATCTTATAATAATTTGTATTAAATAGAAATTCAATCCCCCGGCGCTGAATTGCAAGTTATTTTCATAACCTCAAAATTTCAGTCAAGAGTGGGTAAAAAACATCCAAAAAAAACCATTTTTCTTATATGGTATTTAACACCACTTTTTTATAATCCTCACGAGGTGGTCAATTTTAGAATCTGGGATCGTGTTCAAAGGATAAAAATACATTGGAAAAAATCAACTGTATCTGAAGTAGTAATAACTTTTGTCATTAAGTACCTTTTATCCTACTGGTCAAAAGTGCCAAAAGGACCAAAAGTCTAAAACGAATACTTTCGGAGATAATCGTGGTCGAAAATAGTCCCTTTTTGGGGACCTCAATTTCGACCACGATTATCTCGAAAACTATGGGTTTTCCGACTTTGGTTCCTTTAGGACTTTTGATCAATTAGTCATAAAGTACCCAGTTTCTTAGTTTTGGGCACTTTGATAAACATTTATAAAATTTATTGCAATAAATTCAAGATTTTATAGTTGTAAAGTTTAAGTTTTTCTCATTTATCAAAATAAAACTCCGTTGAAAGTGGTTGTAACTTTTGGCATTAAGTACCTTTTATCCTACTGATCAAAAAGTGTCAAAAGGACCAAAAGTCTAAAACGAATACTTTCGGAGATAATCGTGGTCGAAAATAGTCCTTTTTCGATGACCACGACTTCGACCACGATTATCTCGAAAACTATGCATTTTCCGACTTTGGTTCCTTTAGGACTTTTGGTCGCTAAGTCATAAAGTAACCAATTTCTTACTTTTGACCATTTTGAAAAAAGTCTATAAAACTTATTACATTAAAATCTTCAAGTTTAAATCTTTCTTATTTATTAAAACAAAACTCCGTCGAAAGTGGTCACAACTTTTTGCATTACTGATCAAAAGTCCCAAAAGGACTAGAAGTCTAAAACGAATACTTTCGGAGATAATCGTGGTCGAAAATAGTTCTTTTTTGGGGACCTCAATTTCGACCAAGATTATCTCGAAAACTATGCGTTTTCCGACTTTTGTTCCTTCGAGACTTTTGATCAGTTAGTCATAAAGTACCCAGTTTCTAAGTTTTGGGCACTTTGATAAACATTTATAAAAATCATTGCAGTAAATTGAAGATTTTATAATCGTAAAGTTTAAGTTTTTCTCATTTATCAAAATAAAACTCCGTTGAAAGTAGTTGTAACTTTTGGCATTAAGTACCTTTTATCCTACTGGTCAAAAAGTGTCAAAAGGACAAAAAGTCTAAAACGAATACTTTCGGAGATAATCATGGTCGAAAATAGTCCCTTTTGGGGACCTCAATTTCGACCACGATTATCTCGAAAACTATGGATTTTTTGACTTTGGTTCTTTTGGGACTTTTGATCAGTTGGTCATAAAGTACACAATTTCCGAGTTTTAGCCAATTTGATAAACATCTATAAAAATCATTGCAGTAAATTGAATGCTTAATAGACTTAAAGTTTAAGTTTTTCTCATTTACCGAAATAAATTTCTGTGGAAAGGGTTATAACTTTTGGCATTAAGTACCATTAATCCTACTGGTCAAAAAGTGTCAAAAGGACCAAAAGTCTAAAATAAATACTTTCGGAGATAATCGTGGTTGAAAATAGTCCTTTTTCAGGGACCACGATTTCAATCACGATTATCTCGAAAACTATGGATTTTCCGACTTTGGTTCTTTTAGGACTTTTGATCAGTTGGTCATAAAGTACACAATTTCCGAGTTTTAGCCAATTTGATAAACATTTATAAAAATCATTGCAGTAAATTGAATGCCTAATAGACTTAAAGTTTAAGTTTTTCTCATTTATACCGAAATAAATTTCTGTGGAAAGGGTTATAACTTTTGGCATCAAGTACCTTTAATCCTACTGGTCAAAAAGTGTCAAAAGGACCAAAAGTCTAAAACAAATACTTTCGGAGATAATCGTGGTTGAAAATAGTCCTATTTCAGGGACCACGATTTCGATCACGATTATCTCGAAAACTATGGACTTTTCGACTTTGGTTCCGTTAGAACATTTAATCTGCAAATCGAGAACTACACATTAGGAAAGTTTTAGACAATTTGACAAAAGGACTTAACAATCATGTAGCAAAATAACTTACTACTTTGTTAGTTTGCAAATTTGGCAAACTAACTTTCGTTTTGATTTACTGATTTCAATTTAGTTGAATAAATTTTAAGTAGTTATTATAACTTATAGTTGTAATAAGATGTAAAATTAGTATAAATAATTTATTTAGTAAGAAAATTCTTTAAAAAAATCTAACTTTGTTATCAACATATACATGGGGATAATTAAAAAATTTTCATTTCCCCAGAGAATTAATGAAATTTGAACGATGGGATAATAAAGAGGGAGCAAGGGGCAGAATTGTATGTGCATAATTATAGAATTATTTTAATTTTTCCTTCGCTGTAAATCGCTTTCAACTTATACAGTCTACCTCTTGGCTTCTCAATTAATTGTCCCTTAATGTGCACGTACGTCAAGAGTTGTGATAATTAAGCGCTTCGCTGATGTCGCATTACCACATCATACATTATTGCCGAGATTTTCTTTGCAATCCTTTGACGGAGCGCACGCGCTGCTTCGCTGCTTCACTTCCAGAATGAGCCCTGCTTGGATTATCTTTTGAATACCGCGAGCCAAGCCAAGGACCCTTTAGTATTTCCATAGCCGATCAGTGTTTGTGCGATACAAGGGACACGACAGCGATGAGTTGTATGAATTTCCACAGGCTCATGGCACACTCTACACGTGTAATGATTAACTCTACATATATAGAGAGAGAATGGTATTTTATATGCACGTTGTATTGTCGTTGTGGAAACCATATGCAGATATCGGATTACCGCGTTAACATTTCTTCACCCTACGAATGACAAGTGCGTTTATTCGCGTATTCCTCTCCTTTCTTTCCCCCGATTTTTACCTTTTCCACTGAGTATTTCTTATTTTCAGCGAAGGGAGAATTTGTCGAAATATTTGTTAATTGGAAAAATAATAAAAAACGCATTTAGCATATGTTCAGTATACATAATATTTGGGTTTTAATATACTGAAAAAAGCAATTTTTAATTTTAATTCAATCAAAATTCATTTAATTGTAACTAAAAATATTTGTAAGTGTACTTAGAAAAAAGTGTAATTTCTTTGAAAGAAAACATATTTTTAAGGAAAAGTTGTTTATTGCTTTAAACGGTTTTAGTTAGTAGTAATGTGGAGTGGGTCAGTGGTAACTCCAACTGCACTGACAGTCGAGGCAACTCGTGATCGAACCCTACCTCCGGAGTTTTTTTTTTTGTTTTTGAAAAATTAGAAAATATTAAATAATAATAACTTGCAAAGTAAGAAAAATGAGTAAAATTAATTTTCAGAAAAAATAAATATTTTAATAAAATAACTTTTCCTATAACATTTCTATGACTTTAATATTATTTATTTAGAAGTAAACGATTTTACAACAAAAAAAAAAAAAAAAATTACAAATTTAAATATATGATACAAAAATTAGTAAAAATTCTTTTAGAAAAATCGAGAAAAATTATTAAATAAAATAGCAATAAATAAAAAGTAAAAAAATGACAAAATAATTTTTTCTGTAGTATTTTTTCGTTTTCGATTTATAAATGACTTTTAATTATTGTTTTCAGCAATTATCCTTCCCGTCAACACAATCCAGTCATGGAACCACGAATTTCACTTTTAGTCTTTCCGGAAGTGAGGACATTGAGGGTTCTCAGGGCGGATTTGAATGCATTCAACAAACTGGGCCAAAGTAAGTGTTATAAAAATTATTTTTCAATTTTTCCTTTCCTACACTTTCCTATCACGGTGTGTTGTTGGAAATAAATCATTTATCAGAGTCCAACAATTAAATTATTATTCGTTTATTTTCTCTTTTCTTTCGTTTATAATCAAAATTATTATTTATTTTATAATTTAAATTAATTAAATTAATTAAATATTAATATAAAAAATATTATTTAAAATAAATTCAAATTATTGTTTCAAATAAAATAAAATAAAAATTTTTTGAATTTAAAAATTTAAATTTAAATTATAGTTTTAGGAATTGATTTTTAATTTGTTTTGAATTAACAAAATTATTTTTTATTTTACTAAATTTAGAAGCTTGGAAAGTTTGGGTGCCTTGCAATGCAAAATGCGGATACAGGCAAATGATGATGTTTATGAAACAACTAGGCATCGCATGGCTGTTGCCGAAGAAAATAATAAAAATAAATGGTGAGTTGAAATTTATTTTCCTTAAAAAGAATTATTTTCAACTTTATTTTTCAATTGCTTCAAATTTTTCTATTTATTTTTCTATTTTTAATTTGCAAAAAACAATATTTTCAATTTGAGTATTTGAGAACCCCGATTTAGTGGAATGTTGGTTCTTAGTCCACTATAACGGGGTAATACAATTATTTATTATTTTATTAATATTTTCTATCTATATTTTATTATTATTATTATTATTGTTATAAAATAATTAAAAGCAGTTTTAACAAAAAGCAAATATTGTTATTATTATCACTGTTATTATTTGTATCATTGTTATTATTATTATTATTAATTAATAATTCTTGATATACAGAAACGAGATTGAAATATAATTTTTTTGAATACTAAAAAACGAATTTAACAATAATTATAAATAAATTATTAAAGCGTTAATTTATTATAAGAAAAAATATTATGAGAATTTATAAATATATTTGAAATAGAAAAATATTTTCTATTGACTTTCACTTGTTGGAAATGCCATTAATAGAGAGTTTTGAAAGACAATTGAAAGAAAAAATAGAAAAAAAATATTTGATAATGAGATTTTTGAAATTGTTCTGTTTTTTTTTTCGTTCTCCTCAAAGTACAAGGATAATTAAACCTAATGGACCGGATATTGGACGTAAAGTCAAGGTGAAAGGAATTGGAAGAACGATACCTCCACCACCATCTGCAAACGTTAAGCAGAGGGAATCAATGAGCAATTCAACTTCCGGTACGAATTTGTCCAGGTTTACGTCTTCTTCGTTATCATCTACGTCGTCATCTTCTTCTTCTACTTCTTCTACCATTAATTCTTCAACATCATCATCTTCGTATAAATCAATTTCTCGTAATCCTTCTGCAGCACCTCGTAAAAATGACAAACAACTTCCAGACATTGCACGTACACCAATTAGGTAATTATTATTTTTTTCTTCTTCTTCTTCTTTTTTTAATGCTTTCAAAAAAAAGAAAGAAAAATATTTTAATAAAATTAATTTAATGAATTTAATTAGTTAAATAAAATTATTTTAATGTAAATATAATGTTATCATTTCAACGAATTGATGACTAAAAATGTCGAGATAAACGATCTTTCGGAGAAAATAGGAATAAAAAAAGATTTATTTTTTACTTTTCAACTGCGCAGATTTTACAAAAGCTTATAAAATTAAGTGAATTCATATTTTTTCTGTTTTTGTAAATTTAACGTACGAAAGGAATTTAATAACGAAATTAACAAAAAAATAGAGCAAGTACGATGTTTTTTAAACCGAAATTACTGTTTGTGTATAAGATAAATAAATGTACATTGAAATAAATTAAATAGAAATTAATTATTTGGTTAAGAAATTAAAAAAACTGAATAATTGAAATTTAATATTTAATCGTTATTATTATTTGTTTTACAGAGAGCGACTTATTCACCTTCTTGCATTAAGGCCATACAAGAAACCTGAACTTTATGAACGTATAACGAGAGGTAAATAAATTTTATTTACTTAGTAATTTTTTTCACATTTTTTCAGAATTTGAAACTGAAATCAATAACGTTTGTGTTGAAATAAAAGAATTGAAATTTATCAATAAGTAATGAAAATTTAGTTTCTTTTACGAAAAAAAGAAAAATTATTCGCTTCTCTTGGTATTAGAAAGTAAAATTTGTAAACTTCTGCGTCAACAAAAACGTTCAATTTTGTTTTAAAATTATAATTATTTAAATTAATTTTTTAAAGATTGAAAATTTAGTTTTCTTTCATTTTTACATTATAGTTTGTTATTGTAAACTTTCAGATTGTAAATTTTCTTGTTCGATAAATTTGTATTTTGTTCCTTTTTTTTCTTTGGCAATTTTTTAAAAACTAAATTTTTTTAAAACTTTTTTCTTAAAATTAGAAATAGTAAAAATGTTTTCTAATTTAAATTATTGACTGATTTTTGCTTTTGAATTAGTAAATTTTACTAATGAATAGAAATTTCTATTCTACTAATTTATTAGTGAAACTTACGAATTTAAAAGCAATAATTAATTCAGTATTTTAAATTACTAAACATTTTTACTAATATAAAGAGTCAGATTGTTTTTTTTTTTATTTGTAAGATTTTTAGATTGTAAATTTTTTTGTTCGTAAAATTTTTGTATCGTAAATTTTTTTGTTTGTATTATTCTTGAAAGATTTCAAATTTATTTGTTAGTATAATTTTTTTATTGTAAATTTTTTCATTCGTAAAATTTCTATATTGTAAATTTCTTTGTAAAATTTTTAGATTCTAATTTTATTTGTTTGTTAAATGTTTAAATTATAGGTTTTTTTTATTGTTAATTTTTTTGTAAAATTTTCTGATTGTAATTTTATTTCTGCGGAAAATATTTAAAAATTGTAAAGAAATGCTTTTTCTATTTTTCGTTAATAATTATCGATATAAATTTATAATCCATTCAATTTGCTTTTTCCAGAGGGTGTAAAGGATAAGGATCGCAGTAAAATGTTTGAGCATTTAAAGGAAATTGCCTTCATCAGAGATAATGCTTATCATTTGATAAGGAGAAATTGGAATGACGTACAAGACAATTGGATCCACTATTCCGAGCAGGAAAAAGCTATTCTCAAGAGACGAAAACCCCAGAACTTGACACCGCCCGGCTCAAGTGATGGTGGTTCTAGTGGTTAGTTTTATTTATTACTTGAAAAGGGAGAAAAATAATATTTCCGATAAATTTATTTCTTTTTTTTAAGAAAAAAACTATGGTGACAAATACTTGTTGAGTAAAAAAATGCGAAACATGTTTAAAATTTCCCTTGTTGATAATAGTTGAATTATCTTGGTTAGAAATTCTAAAGAGGTAATTTTTCCGTGCCTTGAATGACTTATTTTGTTCGAGTTTGTTGATTTGTAAACTATTTTTCTAGCGGTAATTTAGATTGCATTTCTATTTGTAATTTTGAACTAAAATTGTCTTGTGCTTGTTCTTTAGGGAGTGGCCAGTCACCAAGTTCTGTTCACCCAGGATCACCACCGGCAATAACGGCTCCACCGCCGGCGCTGATGAATTCAAAACGACCAGGATATTACGAGGGTTCGGACGGCTTACAAACAAAGAAACCACGGATATCGCATTATCGAAAGCCGGAACCTCTTTTTGTGAATCACGGAGACAATCGAGACAATCGAGACAATCGAAGGACGACTGAGGGAAATTATAATAGTGGCGATAGTCGTGATAGTCGCGATAGTCGCGTTAATAGTGCTGAAAGAGTCTCCGATAGTGTTAATAGTGTCGATAATCACGGCGGAAGTAATAATATTAATAATAGTAGTAGTAATAGTAGTAGTGCTAGTTGCAATAATAGTAGAAGCAGTTTATTTGCCGGGGAAGCCAGCAATTGGAGTCAGAGGCAACAGAACCGCCTCAACAGTGCCGAAAGAACAACTAATAGCGATGTGCTTCGTAGTGGTAATTGTGCCACTTCTATTTTGTGCCTATCAGACAGTGATAGCGACGACGACCAGAGTCAACATCCCAAGCTCAGTTCCGACGACCACCGCAACAGCCATGTGATGAATAGTGTTGACCAACTTCGAAACTCAACTCAAATTCATTTCGAGTCACCGGCGAGTCCCGATCCCGATCCTTCAATCAATGTTACCAACAATGCTTCTACCCAAACGGCTGACGCTAACAATTCCCATGAAGAATATCCTGACTACCTCACGTAAGTCCATTATTTCATCTCCTTTTTATCAAATGCGAAAAACAACATTTATTTACAAATTTATTCACAAACTGCAAAATTTAAACTTCTTTTTCTATCATTTCCTCAGAGCTGTTAAACAATTCTTTTTATACGAGGAAACAAATATAGATTTACTTCGGATGCTGTAAAATTTTCTCTGAAAATATGATTTTTAATAGCAAATTTTACTATTTTCCATGTTACAGGGTTGCCACGCAACCTGGAAACCTGGAAAACCTGGAAATGCGAAGGAATTTTATAAACCTTGAAAAAACCTGGAAAAGTCAGGGAATTTTTATCGTAAACCTGGAAAATTATTGTTTTCTAAAGTTATTGTGCTTATTCTTGAAATCTAATTTCACTTAAATATTTCAAAATTAATTCAATTTTAAAAGAGTTGCGTTTACAATTTTCATAAATAGAAAAACTTCAAAAGGTTTTTATTTTAAATTTTACAAAATTTCAATTTTCAATTAATTAATTAAATACTAAAAATTTCACAGGAATTCTATTATTTACAAATTCTTTATAAATTTCTTCGCATAATAATTCAATTATTTTCATGAAGAATAATATTTTTTACCAGGAATTCAATTATTTTCAATTATTTTCATAAATAATAAAAATCATCGCAGAATTTCAATGATTTTTAATACAATTTTAATGGAATTTGTCGAAAAATGTAATTATTCTTAAAAATTTTATAATAATTCATCAAAAAAAAAATTCAATTATTTTAAAAAGCCTTCCTATAAATTATGTATTATTTTCAAAAATTTTAATGAAATTCTTTTTAACAATTCAATTTTTTTTCAAAATAATTTTAATAAAATTCTTCGTAGAATTAAATTAAATTCAATAATTTATCAAAATTCAATTATTTTTAATATCTACGTATTTCAATAAAATTTCACAAAAGAATTCAATTATTTAAAAAGCAATATATCATTAAAACTCGTCTCAAGAATTCAATTATTTTCAAAAGTAATAAAATTCTTCACAGAGATTCAATTATGGTCAAAAGTTTTAAAAAAATTCTCGTCAAAATTTCAATTATCTTTATAAATAATAAAATTATTCTTTAAAATCCAATTATTTTCAAAAAACTTAATAAAATTCTTGGCAAAATTTCAATTATTTTCAAAAACTTTTCTCAATTCAATCAAATTTTTTTTAACAGAGATTCAATTATATTTTTAATGCAATTTTAATCTAATTTCTCGAAAATGGAAATTATTCTGAAAAATTTTATTAAAATTCGTCAAAAGAATTTTAATTATTTAAAAATTTGTTGATAAATTCAAAAGCAAAAAGTCAGTCACAAATTCGAAAATAGTAAACATTTTTACTAATTTAAATTTAAAGAGAAAGTATTATAGCGTGAATTTTTAGAAATAATTGAATTTTGAAAAGGTTTCAAATTATAATCTTTGAAAGTTTAAATTTTTCATACTTTTAACTGAAAATTGTGTAGATTTATTTTTTTTTAAAGTTTAATGCAACTTTTTTGAAATTATTTCAAGTTTTTATTTTCTAATATATATTTAATTGAAGAATTTCCGAATAATCGATGAAATTTCGTAAAATTGAATTGTAAACAAAAGAATTTGAAAATTTTCAAAGAAATTTTTCAAAAATTATTAAAAATGAATGAATAATTAATTTAAAGAAGAATTTTAGTTAAAAATTGTAGAAAATAATTGAATTGAAATGAGAATAATTTTGATGAAGAGACAGGAAGAATATTCTTATAAAATATAAAATAATGATTTTATCAGACGGTCATCTTTCTTTATTTAATTATTATAAAACATGAAGATATCGATTTCAAAAAGGTTTGAATTTGAAATTTTTGAAAAATGTTAATTCTTATAGAAAAATAATAATGATTTAATATTTATTGAAAAAAGAAGCAATGGAACATTTTTCTGAGTAATAATTTTGAAACTGATTGAGAATATTCTTTAGAGTCACGAAGTAAGAATTTTGTCTGGAATTTAATTTTGTCAGGGAAAAAGAAAATTAAATGTTTGTTGGCAACAAATATAGTTTTAAAAACTTGGAAAAACTCCGTTTTTTAACCTGGAAAACCTGGAAAATTTAGGGAATTTGAAATGAGCAAAAGCGTAGCAACCCTGTGTTAATTTTTGCATAAGAATTATTAAAAATTTCCCTCGAACATTGTACAACTTGCTGTTGAAAATTATTAATGGCAGAGTAAATTTTCCTGTTCCTGAAGTAAATTTTTCTAATTTTTATAAAAGAAAATTTTCTTTGGAAATAGTAAAAGTCATCCTGAAAATGACAATTTTTAATAGTAAACTTTACTATGAACTTTTGAAGGAAATTTTGAAAAAAATTTGAAAAAAAAGTTTGAAGTAAATTTGACTAAAATTTTACTGCAATCTACTTTTTAAAATTCATGGAATTTGAAAGTAAAAGTATTGTTTTAATTAAAATTCAGTTAAATTACAGACAGTGGAATAAATGTAAATATTTAAAAAATTTTCTTTGACGCATTTTCTACCCAAATTGTTAAAAACTTCTGCAAAACTTAATATTTCTTTTCTTTCCCTGGTACAATTTGTTTATTTAAAATATTTATTTCTATGATAAATTTTACTATTTCTGGAGTTAATTTATGCTACTTTAAAAAAAAAAAATTTCAATTTTTTCCTAAATAGTAAAAGTTATTCTGAAACTGTTCATTTTTAGTAGCAAATTTTACTATTTTTTGAGGAAATTTTACCAAGTCCGAAGTAAATCTGACTAAATTTTTACAATTTTGTTCGATTAAAGTAAAATTCATGGAATTCAAGTTCTAATTTAATTTTTCGAAGGTTAAATTATATGAAAATTAAACCAAATGGTTGTGAAGTAAAAATCATAGTTTAATAATTATATTATTTTCTAGGAAAATCTTGATTTTATTTATTTTATTGCCTTGTTCTATATGTAGAATAATAAAATTAATTTTTCGAAATTTCACATCACTTTTGTTCTAATTAGTACGAATTTTTACTAATTTAAATTGAGAGAATAAATTTTGTGAATACTGTTTTTGTAAGAAGAATTTGGAAATTAATTTTTTTTTCATACTTTTGTCTCAATAAGCGAATTTTATTACAATTTTCCAAAATAGTCGAATTCTTTCAAGAAATTTTATTAAAATTGTCTTGAAAATAATTGAATTACTAAGAAGAATTTTATTATATTTATCAAAACAATTAAATTCTTGCATTAAATGTTATTAAAATATTGTGGAAAATAATTGAATTTCTGTGAAGAATATTATTTCTTTATTTTTTCGAATAAATAACAATTCTTCGAATTGTTTTGAAGAATTTTATTAATATGTTTGAATAATTAATTAGTTAATAAGTGAATTTCGTTAAATCTCGAATTTGAAATTATTCGAAAAATTGCAGTTATTATTATATTAAGAAAAATTAAAACTTATTTTTCTCCTTTTCTTGCAAAGAAAATAATTTGAAATTTTGTTTGCTTTTAGTTATTATACGAAAGTCAGCAGCGACGAGCAGAGGAGACGTTACAAGGAGGAATTCAACAATCTTTATCCGGAATATAGAGAATTATACGAATATGTTAACCCAGTAAAGAGTCGATATTATAAATGGCAGCAACAATTTAATGAAGTAAAAGCTCAGGGAAATTTGCAGGAACTCGAGGTATTTAGTTTGAAATATTTCCGTTTTGGTGTCATTTTTCTTTCAAACCACCAGTTCCAAAGTTTTATTTTCACCTAAAGAGTCTATTTTCTCATTTATTTTTACTAAAAATGTTTATCCGAAAAAATATCTTCCAAAAGCGTATATATACTTTCAAGAAAATTCTTTTTCAATACAAAAAATGTTTGAATACAATTTACATTTTGTACGACAGGATTCTTTTTTGTATAAAAAATATAATAATGATAAAAATACGATAAACATTACTATTAATAGAAAAATAATCCATTTGTTAAAATTTTCTCTTTTTCCAGATAATAAAAATAAACATTCTGAAAGATTACAATATAATGAATAATGATCCGATCTTCAAGCAACGTAACACGAGACACGATTATTTGCATGGAAAATTGCGTCACTTAAAGAATTTGGTCGAGGAATATGATGCGAAGCATTTTGGTGTTAATAGTAATAACAAGACTACTCTTCATGGAAAAGAAAATCAGAACTACTGACACAAACTAAAAATATCGCATCTCGTCCATCGCTTCTTCTCCATTGTCAGTACCACAGTCTCGATGATGTTCATGCAAAACTCGCATTTCTTTGGCATCTTTTAAGAAAGGATTTAGAAAAAAAGAAAAAAAAAACTCTCCCCATTGAAAATTATTCCAAAAAAAAGAAGAAAAAAATGAATGTGGCTTTTTTAATTTTTCAAACTTGACTGAAGAAATGTTCACGTTATTTTTTCCTTGAATGTTGTGAGAATTATTCAAATTCAAAAGAGTGCAATTTAATAAGTGACGGTGAAACTAGGAGAGAAATTCCTTTTTGAGAGGAAGAGAGAAAGAAAAAGATTGAGAGAGAGAGAGAGAAGAAAATACGAAGATGAAGAATGTTACTTTGGACGTTGTTTGTAAACCGATCCTTCGAAAAAATATCAGTCCGTTTACGTGCAATTAGCCAAGTCTGATGACAATCAGAAAGCCGACGTTGGAACACTCCATCCTAGAAAAAAAAATGCTGCGTCTCGTCCAAGACTGTCCAATCGTAATGCAGGGAAAGAGAGAGAGAGAGAAGAGAGAAATTGTTAAGTACGTAAGTTATTTACATCACGCACGTCCAGAGTTGTCTCGTCCAGTTTAAAGAAAAAAAAAAATGACTGAAAAAGAAAAGCAAAAAAAAAAAAAAAATACTTTCGAGATCCTTTTTTTGAAAATAATTCCGAAAAGTTATGTTCTCGAAAGTAAAGCACTTTGTTTCCTTATAAAATAATTGCGAAAGTATGATGCGTCATATCATTGAAAATGTTAACGTGTCCAGATATTTATCTTAGTTGTATAGCCTTAGTTCAAGGTTTTTCCAAGGCAGTTTCTTTTTCAATCTTTTACTTAGATTTTTGAGAGAGAGAGAGAGAGAGAGAAAGAGTGAGCGAAAAAGAAAGAGAGAGAAACAAAAAAGGATAATTAATTTATTAAAAAAGAAAATAATTTTTTTTTCTAGAGACGTAAATGTGAAAAAGTGATTTGAGAAAAGAGAAGTGCTTAAATAGTGAAAGAGGAAGGGGTTGTTTTTACTAGTGGTTACTTAGTAATAATTGTTTTTTAATTTTTAAAAAAAAGAAGTTTAGACAATAATTAAGTTTTCTTTCGTGTGAACTTTTTTTATTCACATTTTTTCACGTCCACATCTCTATTTATTTTTTTTTTTGTTCTTTCATTTTAACGAAGAGGCGAATATTGCATGATTTTTTGCCCTAAATGCCTATCAATTTTTAATATCCAAATTAATCTGAGCTTTTAAAGAGGGGGGAGGGGGGCGTAAATTAAAAAAATTCTCCAGATCCAACTTCGAAAATTTTGCCATTTTTTTCATTTCTATTTTCTATTACGTTTTTATTTAATTGTTTTTCCAAATTTTACCATTTTTTTTTTTCAGAGAATGTTTCTTTAGAAAATCTTTTTTTTAGATAATGTTTTTTAGAACATCATTTGGAAAAAATGTCACAATTTTCGATTGATTGTCCACTTTTGGCGAGAGTTTGTGATTTTTTGACAATATAAGATTTAAGAATTATTTTCTTTTGTCTCATTTTTAATCATAAAAAAATCATTTCAATCAAAACTGAATTGATTACATATTTGAGAAGAGAAAAGAAGATTTAAAAAAAAGAAAAGCTAGCCAGAGTCGGTATAGCAAAGACGAGAGATGTCAAAAAGATTTTAGATAAAAAAAAGCGAACTGATTTCGCTTAACGAGAGAAAAAAAGTATAATTACAATATACGACTGATGTATTCGAGTGTTACTTTTTTTTTTAAAAATGAAAAGATCGCCTATAAACGATATAAAATAATATGGCAATGATCGAAAAGGGATGCTCTTTGTGTGTCCAAAAATTCTTTCTATATCGTGTAGAGTATAAAAAGAAAAGAATTTTATGAATTTTAACACTAGCTTTTAACGTAACGTTATAATTAATAATAAATAGGAAAAAAAACACTTATCGTAACAGGTTTTTGTATTTAAAAAAAAACAAGTTGTCAAGCTAGATTTCTTAATAGTTATTCAAGGTCTTTTCAACAAAGACCGACAAAAAAATTGTACAGACTCGCGATATTTCGCTTGAAAAAACAAAAAAAATCTAAAAAAACAAAAGTAAAAAAAAATGTAATATATATTATGATTCTTTATAAATGCTGCAATATAGTAATATCACTATCACTCTATTTCGCCATTTTCAAATAAATGCCCGTAGATTTTTAATCTCTCCCCACTGCCCTCCCTCCCTCCCCCACCTTTAAAAAAGAAACTGATTGTTTTCTCCTATTATCAGAAAGTGTGAATGAGAGAGGTTTTTTTCGAAAAATAAGAAACAATTTTTTTTTGCTAAAAGCCAGAAAGAATTTTTCTTTTTATTAAAGGAAAAAAAGCTGGAATTCTTTTCTCGAAAAGCTAGGCAAACGAATCGAACTTAAACGGATTTGGTTTTGTCTCCAAAAAAAAAAAGATTTTTATTCGCATAACATATTTGGTAGTATTATGATTCTATTGTTGTTGCTACTATATATAAATATATATTAAAAAAATGCACAGTGATTCAGAAATAAGATATTAGCTTGTTGCGTTTTATTCTTAAAAAAAAAGAAAAAATGATACTGCTCAATTAAATAATGATGAATGAATTTTGCTCAGCATAATAATGTTGACTGTCGTCTTTTTAAAAAAGGGCCAAAAAAAACACTTTTTTTTCTCCAGTTTCGAGAAAAAAATCCTTTTTTTGCACTTCTCACATTTGGCACAGTGATAATTATTATTTTTTACTAACTGATATTAATATTGCTAGGAATAAAAAGAAAAAATGCGTAAAGGAGTAAAAGTTTCAAAAAGAAAACTTTGCGCATAATTTATTGATAATATATAGAAACAATTTATTTTTTAAATAGAAATAAAATTAATTGGAGAAATAATTCCTTTTTTTTCACTGTGCTATGTATATGTCTCGAATTTTTTTCTTCTTGCACTGAAATAATTCAGTCAAATTTTGATAGTTACCAATACCAGTCAGTACTGCCTTTTTTTTCTTTTTCTCCATCACAACTTCCATTTTTTAAACGAACAGGACAAGAATTATTAGAATACAATCTTTTTAACATATCGAAATTATTTTTATTATGATAATTAAATCAAAAAGGAAAAATTTGCATGATTGAAACTAGTGATCAAAAAATTTTTTCAAAAAAACAGTTGTTGGATCAAAAGATTTTAGAAAATAAAAGAGAAAATTTTGAGTGATATTTTCAATTTTCATTCGACAAATTTTAAATTGATTATATTTAAAATTTTTAACATTAAATTTTTGGAAATTAAAATTTATTTTCCTTTGGAAAGTTATTACAATAATTTATTCTTTTAAATTGTTAGATATTTGTTTCTCGATTTATTAGGAATTCTTCAATTTTACTATATATGTATATACGATTTGCCGATTACAAATTATTGTTACGATTTGTTTTTCGAATCTATTAACAAAATTTATTCTTCGGATTTATTTACCATGTTCATCGGATTTATTAACGTTCTTCAATTTATTGTTCTTTAATTTAGTTGACAATTTTGAAAAGTTCTTGAATTTAGGAATTATTTGTTCGACGAATCTATATTAACGATTGGTTTAAGTTAACAATTTGTTCCTCGTATTTATTAAAAAATTTGTTCTTCGAAATTACAATTAACAAATTTGTTTATCTTTGGATTACGATTTTTGTCTTTTCATAAAAAAGAATTGTTAATTTCTTCAAAAATATTATTTCTCCAAATATGGAACTGAGAAATATTTTCTCTCATTATGCACAAAGTGGAAAAGAAAAAAAATATTGGGACCTTGTTCTTCAATTTTACAGGTTCTGTTTTATTCGCACAGTTCCTATTTCCAGTTTCTATAGAATAAATTTCTTCCGGTGCATTTCATTTTTTAGTTTTTGATTTTTAACAGAGAAAATTTTTAAGTAAATGCAACCTTCTCGTTAAAAATGTTTTTTTTTTAATTTTCTTTTAAATTTTTTTTTTTAATATTTCTTTTAAATTATTTTTTTATTTTCTTTTAATTTTTCTTTTCCGCTAAAAAAATCTTGTCAAAATGGATTTATTCTATTTTAATCATAAATTTGTAAATTAAAATAAGAGGGTTGCATTTTATTTTAGTCGGAATATATGAAGTTAACGCTTAATAGCAAAAAAAAAAACCTTCCTTTTTTTATTTTAAGAGAATCCAAGTGCCAATTATAGCGAAAAATAAATAATGCTACAATTTTATTATAAATATATACATATATACATGCTTTATCTAGAAAATACATATGCATAATATACATTTAGTACAATATAACAAATATGTCTATGTAACTATTATTATTATGAGAATTTTTCACGCGAGAAGCAAACAAAAATTATTTTCCAAATCCAATGCGAATTTAATTTTTCTCTTTAGTAAATTTTTTTAAAATTCGAAATTTTTTCCCAAAACAGAAAAAATTTGTTCTTTTGTTTTGGAATTTATCTTTAAGGGTAAAATATATTCCATTTTTTTTATCTCCCTACCAACAGATTGGTACAACCAGATTTTGTGGAATTACATTTGTTTTTTAGATTAAAATCGAAATCGGTCGGCCGTACCGATGTTTTTTAATTAAGAAGCAAGTGATTTAGTTTCCTCCTGTTGGTGATGAGTAATTTTGAATAATTTATTATTTACCAATTTTTTTGTTTTTTGTAATTTTCTTCGAATTAAATCATAAAATACAAGGAGTATAATTTTTTTTTTTTGGGAAAAAAATTTCGAATTTGTTTTTATTGACTTAATAAATAAAGTATTTCTTTTTGTTCTTTAGTCTTTTGCAATTTCGTTTTAATATGTTAGGAAGGAAAGAAGAAATAAATAAAAATATCATTAAATGTGAAAAAATTTTGGAAAAAAAGACGGCAGACGAATTATGCATGCTCGTTGTTGTAATATTACAATTTTTGACTGTGATGCTACATTATATAATACATATATTACGTGCGTAAATACTTTTTTTTCAACGATGTTTGCATTTTTTGTGCCGTGACACCAATTCGATAATCCCCTATTTTCTTTGCTGCTCATGTGATATAAAGCTCTCATACTTTTTTCCCCCAACTTTCTTTTTTTCCTTTTTTTCTCATTTATTCTACACAAATATTTAAAAAAAATATTGACTATCTATATGATTTGCCAATTAAATCTGCCACTTTCGCAAACAGAGTTGGATGTATAATAATATTAATTCAAATTAATTGTCAATTAAAAATTTAATACCTATGAATTTAAATTAATATTCATTGAAATTAAACATTATAAAATTGAAATTTAATCTGAATTGAAATTAAATACTGATTAAAATTAAATATTAATTGAAATTAAATCTCAACTGAAATGAAATACTGATTGAAATTAAATATTAACTGAAATTAGTCATTAATGGAAAGCAATAATTAATTAAAATTAATATAAAATTAAAATTAACAAATAATTTGAATTTATTCCCAATTAAAGAATTTTTTTTCGACGCAAAACTTTTTTTTGTACTTTTAAAACCAACATTATAGAAAAAATGAATGTGGAACAAAATTAGAAAAAGTATGAAAGTTATTGAAAAAAATATAAAACAACTAAATTTGTAGTTGAAACAAAAAAAAAATTTGTTAATTTTAAGACCGACTCTGGTTGTAAAAATTTAGCTCAGTCGCATTGTTCTGCTTGTTCAAATTCTTATGTAATTTTCTCTCAATAATGATAAAATTTAGAGAGAAAAAAAAATAACGATGTAATTATTTTAATATATATATATATAAAAATTGATCCCGTGGACTTTAGTAAAAAATGCGAATTAAAAAAATATTTTTTTTTAAACAAAAAAAAAAAATGCAAATCGTTATATATGTTCGATTGATGGTATTTTGGATGTGGCTAGAAATTTATTTTAGTACATTGAAATAACTCTTTTTTTTTCTTATTGTTGTAATCTTTAATCCAGGAAAAGTCGACTATCTTTTTTTTTCTTAATAAAATGAAAAAAAAAAATGTTAAAAGATTTATCGATTTTTCCTAGTCATTAAATTTTAATTTATAATATACACATAATATAAAATATATATTTTAGAAAACTAAAAGAAAAAGGAGACAAGACAAAAAAAAAAGTGGAAGCAAAGTAAAAAATGAGAAAATTGTGCAAAATTATTTTTTAGAATTTTCTTTTATTGCAAAAATGTGCAAGAAAGGATAAAAAAATAATTTTTTAAATGAAAAATGTGATTATTTTGCACGAATTTCTTTTGAAAAAAAAAATGTAGACATATATTATATAGTAAAATAACGTGGCTTTTTTCTTCTTTTTTTCAATCTCAATATTTCCCAATATCAAATATTTGCAAAAAAAAAGGGGGAAAAAAATAAGGAAATAAAAATACTACTACTAATAATATAATAATAAATATTAAAATTAGAAAAAAAAACGAAATCCGTAGGCCATTGTGAACACGCGTAAATACCGACGATTATTATTTTATAAGAGCGTGTAATATTTTGGATGACTGTAAAAGTGTATGACAAAACAGGGCCTTGAAGCGAATTTCCTTAAGGCGGCGATTTGCTTGAAAGGAATTCAGAATTAAGGCGATTTAAATAAGTTACATATTATCGTATATATATATACACACATATATATATATATTATTATTGAAAAAAAAATGTACCCGTGACTCTTTTATTGACGACGACTGCATTGCTCCCCTTGACAAAGGCTCGTATATCCATTATATAGTTGTATTTGCAATTTATTATCTATATATTATTATATTCATTAATTAAAATAAAAAAAGTATATTATATATATTTGGTAAAGAAAGGAACGTGAAATTGATTCGAAAAATTTGGCGCCCTTTCGAGAAGAGAATTTTTACTTTCTTTCTTTTGTATTTTCGAAAATTTATTTCTTAATTCGAAAATGTATAAATTTATACTTGAAAATAGATTTTTTATTTCGAAACATTTTCAAATAAATTTACATTTCGAAAAGTTTTCGACGAAAAATTGACAATTTTCTATTACTGTTTTTTTCGAAGTAATAATAAATATTCCAAAAGAAAAAAAGAGTAATAAAAATTGTCAGGATAGTTTTTTATTCTATCTAAAACTCGAAAATTATGAAAATTATGAAAATTATGAAAATTATGAAAAGAAGAAAGAAAAATACGGAAAAGGAGATTGAGACTTGAATCTGACTGCTACTTATTATAAAGGGAGATTTTTTATTGTTAACCCGGGTGCTCATTTTTTTTCAACTTGAAAAATCAATTTTAACGTTCCTATCTTTACTCGCTTCTGTTTTTTAATATTGGAGAACATGCATATTTCGAGAAACATAAAAAAAAAATGAAATAAGTCGATGAAGTTAACGATTAGATTTAATATTAAAAAAAAAAGAAAAAAAAATGCTGATGCGGATGGTTTATAATGTTAATTGATGAGAAAAACGAAAATGAAATGATGATGTAGGAGAGAAAGAGAGAGAAAGAGAGAGAGAGAGTTAGAGAAAAAAGGAGTATGTATAATATGTATTTTAAGCAAGGCAACAATTTACATTTACATTAACGGTAACGAGTAACAAATACATATGTGGGTTGTGCATAAGAAAAAAAAATACGTATGTACGTGTTTTGTCTAGAGCTTATCGAGAATAATTTCATAAATTTTTGATAGAAGAAAAGATTTTAAATGCAATTTTAACAAGTTGAGTTGGAATAGTTTAGAAAAAATGAACTCTCGAAAAAAAAAATAAAGAACAATTCTTTTGATCAATGACCAGTAAAATTTGTTTAATGTGCCAATTGTGCTCATCGTACTTCCGTCCCAGAATGGGCAATAATCGTTAAATCTCTCTCCAAACGAGATTGCTAAACACCAAAGACAAATATTCTGACTCTACTTGAAATTATTCGAAAATTTCTTTTAAACGAAAAGAAAAACCTTATTCTCGAAAGAATCTTTTTTTCAAATTTGTAAATTCTCATTGGCCAACATGAAATTATAATCGAAAATACAGTTTTCCATTTGGTGAATTGGTGAATATTTCGTGAATATTGGTATTTTTATAACGAAAGAAGTGTTTACGTTCCAACGACAAAATTTGTTGTTTAAATAAATTAATTATTGAAATAATAATTTACTGAAACAATAATTTATCCAAATAATAAATTATTGCAATAAAATTGATTTCAATAAAATGTTAAGTTTATTTTAGTAAAAAAAATTGTGAGAAAATTTATTGGGAAACTGATTTTTTGGATTGTCTCGATTGCTCTTTTCAAAATCATAATTTCGTGAGCGGTGTTAATATCTCCAGATATACAATAGAATAATGTAGAATTTTATTGTATTTTGAAAAATGCCGCGAACGACTGGATTTACAATTATTTATTCAAACGACTTGCCAAGTTCATTGCACAGTATATAACGAGAGATAAAATTCGAGAAAGATTTTAAGAATTAACGAATGAGACGTATATAGACATTGAGAATTTTCATGAGATATTGATGTATATATCTTAAGTTTGTATTATAACTCCCCACTTAATTTGTATGAAATGGAAGTATCATTAAAATGATGATGAAAACAAAATTCATTTGTCTATTTTCTTCATTTTTACCCTCTTGCCAACAGTCACAACAAAAACTGGAGTCTGGACATTATTTTTATCCTTAAGATATTAAATTAATTTTTACATTAATTACTTCTTAATTCACAGTACATTTTTTTCCTAATTAGCAATCAATTTCTTTCTAATTCAAAAAAATATAGACATCAAAAAATTTACTTTTGAAAAATAGAAAAATTAATTCCTATTAAAAAAATAGGAATTTTAAGTTAAGAATTTTTACAATAACTAAGTAGATGGAAAAATTTGATTTGGCATATTTTGTGATGCATATTTTCGAAAGTCTGAAAAATAATTATTAATTATTTATTTGTTAGTTAATAAAATTCTAAAGAAAACAATTTCAAGTGTTATTTATAAAATAAATAAATAAATAAAAGTCGATTAATCTGATTAGTCTCTACGAAGAGATAATTATTTTTTTACATAATTATTTATAATGTTTATAATATTTGTCCTCCAGTATTCGGCCATATTGATAAATGACGTAACATTCCACAGTAACGCAGGCGTAGAAAAATGCCGGTCATTCACGCAGAGAGACGACAGACTAATGACACTCAAGTAAACGATTAAATTTTGTCTGCTTGTCTGAAAGAATTTTAACAATACAAAACATTAATAGACTACTTTAAAAAATTCTACTGGAAAATGTACAAATTGAAAATAATTGTAATAATTAAGAATTAAAAGATTTTGAAAAATGGCTACAGAACGTGAAACAACAGTAAGTAACCTCATCATATGTATTGAAATTGTATATTCTACTGAAACCATATAATATTAAAAAGAAACTATTGAAAAAACTATTAGAAAAAAAATTTCAAATTGATGTCCAATTTAATTTCTCCCTTTTTTGGGTCAACTATTTTATTAAAATATAGAAAATCAAAATTTTTGTTTGTTTATTTATCCTTCAGTTTTACTAATTCTGTCATATTCCACATTTCTAAATTCATATAAAATATGTATTACGTTTATTTACTTAGATGACATGCACAACTCAACATTTGAAGCTATTTTATTTTTTACTCCAAAAATTATTTTTCACCTTTACTATTTTCATTTTTATTTTATAATTTATTTTTATCATTTTCATATATGTATTTTACTCCATTTGATACTATTTAATTAAAAACATTCCCCAATTTATAGTTTTTTTTTTTACTATCTTTAAGTAACAAATTATTTATAACTCTACTACAATTTTCTGGAAAGTAAAATTTATTTCCAGAAACAAAAAGAATTTTCAATTTATAAATTTATTTTCTTTAAATATATTAAACATATTTTTTATTTATATTCATATTTATTTCATAGAACATAATTCTTGGATAGAATTTTTTTTCGCCTACATAATTTTGGAGTGGTCGTTTATTTCATCGTTTTATTATTATTATTATATATAATATTTATTACGTTTTGTTTTTTAATTAATTTTTTGTTTGATTAACAATTGTCATGTATTTCAGGTTCAAGATCTAAAGGAAAAGGGCAATAATTGTGTAAGGGAACACAAATATGAAGAGGCAATGTATCACTACACGCTTGGAATTAAAATGGACCCTCAAAATTATTCATTGTACAGTAATCGATCTCTGGTCTTTTTAAGAATGCAACAGTATCACTTATCAATGGAAGATGCTCTTATGACCATACAGATAAAACCCGATTGGACCAAAGTGAGAGAAAAATTCATTTATACTGCGATCTAAATCTAACTTAAAAACAAATCAATTCAACTGAGTCTCCAGCAATTTTATTTGCAAAAGGAGAGGAAAAACAAAAATTTACTGTTAAACTCAAAATATTTTTTCTAAAGTTCATACTAATATTTAAAAAAATTAATTTACCAGTATTAAATTTTCATCAATTAAGTATTTTTATTGTAATAGTAAAAATATTTACTAATTATTTTTAGTTTAATAGTAAAAGTTCTGCTGATTTAGATTTAGATCCTAATTTTCTTCCAATTTCCATCGAATTAAAGTTTGATTTCACTGTATTAATATTAACAGATTAATTATTTATTCAATATCCAAATAATGAAATAAATATTTACCTTTCAGGGCTATTATCGAAGAGCGGAAGTTGAATTTCATACTTTTCGATTCAGTGAAGCAATTCAGTCTTATAGAAAAGCTCTCGAATTGCAGCCAGATGATCCCAGCATAATAGACGCAATGAACAGAGCTTCCAGGTCACTACTACAAGATAAAAGAGGTATTATTCAGTATTCGCTACTACGCAAAGAAGAAATTTCATTCTTACTTTAAGGACAATTAAAAAGTAAATTCACATTCTAAACAAAAAAGATTCATAAATATGAAAATTAAATCCGCTTATTATGCGAGAAGTAATGACAATTTTTCTTGTCCCTAATAATTTAATAATTTTATTTTAATTAAAAAAATTTGGCAATATAATTTTTCAGCTGATCAACAAATTCCATGGCTTGGTGCTGGAGTTGGAATTATTTTGGGAGTGATAGTCGTCATTGCCGATTATGTATTCACAAACAAACCAACATTGTCGGTGAGAATTTACACTATTAAAATTTTTATTATCCAATTTATGAGAATTTACAGAATTCAATTATTTATCAAAATTCGAAACGTAACTCAAAAAATTCAACTGTTTTTACAATATTTAATTAAAATTATTTACAATAAAAATTTTCTCAAATTTCAATTTAAAACCTGGAAATTTCAGGGAATTTTGATCGGAATCCTGGAAAATTATTGTTTTCTAAAATTATTGTGCTTATTCTTGAAATCTAATTTTTCTTAAATATTTCCAAATTTATTCAATTTTAAAAGAGTTGCGTTTACAATTTTCATAAATAGGTGAACTTCAAAAGGTTTTCATTTGATATTTTAGAAAATTTCAATTTTGAATGAATTAATTAAATACTAAAAATTTCACAGGAATTCTATTATTTACAAATTTTTTTTTATAAATTAATTCGCAATAATTCAATTATTTTCATGAAGAATAATATTTTTTACCAGGAATTCAATTATTTTCAATTATTTTCATAAATAATAAAAATCATCGCAGAATTTCAATTATTTTTAATACAATTTTAATGGAATTTCTCGTAAAATGTAGTTATTTCTAAAAATTTTATTATAATTCATAAAAAAAATTCAATTATTTTAAAAAGCCTTCCTATAATTTATGTATTATTTTCAAAAATTTTAATCAAATTCTTTTTAACAATTCAATTTTTTTTCAAAATAATTTTAATAAAATTCTTCGTAGAATTAAATTAATTTCAATAATTTATCAAAATTCAATTATTTTTAATATCTACGTATTTCAATAAAATTTCACAAAAGAATTCAATTATTTAAAAAGCAATATATCATTAAAACTCGTCTCAAGAATTCAATTATTTTCAAAAGTATGTAATAAAATTCTTCACAGAAATTCAATTATGGTCAAAAGTTTAAAAAAATAAAAATTCTCGTCAAAATTTCAATTATCTTTATAAATAATAAAATTATTCTTCAAAATTCAATAATTATTTTGAAAAAATTTAATAAAATTCTTGGCAAAATTTCAATTATTTTCAAAAACTTTTCTCAATTCAATCAAATTTTTTTTACAGAGATTCAATTATATTTTTAATGCAATTTTAATCTAATTTCTCGAAAATGGAAATTATTCTTAAAAATTTTATTAAAATTGGTCAAAAGAATTTTAATTATTTAAAAATTTGTTGATAAATTCAAAAGCAAAAAGTCAGTCACTAATTCGAAAATAGTAAACATTTTTACTAATTCAAATTTAAAGAGAAAGTATTATAGCGTGAATTTTTAGAAATAATTGAATTTTGAAAAGGTTTCAAATTATAATCTTTGAAAGTTTAAATTTTTCATACTTTTAACTGAAAATTGTGTAGATTTAATTTTTTTTAAAGTTTAATGCAACTTTTTTGAAATTATTTCAAGTTTTTATTTTCTAATATATATTTAATTGAAGAATTTCCGAATAATCGATGAAATTTCGTAAAATTGAATTGTAAACAAAAGGATTTGAAAATTTTCAAAGTAAATTTTTCAAAAATTATTAAAAATAAATGAATAATTAATTTAAAGAAGAATTTTAGTTAAAAATTGTAGAAAATAATTGAATTGAAATGAGAATAATTTTGATGAAGTTACAGTAAGAATATTCTTATAAAATATAAAATAATGATTTTATCAGTCGGCATCTTTAATTATTTATTATAAAACATGAAGACATCGATTGCTCCGAGTCGAAGACTCGGAGTGATCGATATCTTCATGTTTTATAACAATTTTTTTTTGAAAATTGTTTAATTTCAAAAAGTTTTGAATTTGAATCTTTTGAAGAATTTTAATTTTCATGGAAAAACTGTAATGACTAAATATTTATTTAAAAATGATAAATATAATAATAATTTATAAATCTTATAAAATTGGATTTTTTAATTCTTCATTAAAATTTTGTCTTTTTGTGTTTTAATTGCAGCATCCGATTTTAATGGTCCTAATGACAATGGCGATAGCAATAATTGGTTTTGGTGTTGCAAAAGGTTTTCGATATTTCGTGAAATGTCAAAGAAAATCGTTACTTGAACCACCAGTGGATTTATTTGAAGAAAAAGAAAAAGAAGACGCACTGTCCGATGCGGATAAAAGTGGAGAGAAAGATAAACATCCAAAGTATAGTAAAGCACAAGCTCGACAAAGATTTAAGAAAGGTAAATCATAGAAAATTATTGCGCGCCATTACTTAATAATCGTAAGTTAAACAATTTTATTTAGCAAAACTTTTCTCTTTAATCATCAAAAAATTTCAAGCATAATCTTCAAATAATCTTCTATACCTTTACCAATTTTTCAAAAGAAAGAAAGAAAAGAATTTTGAAATTTTTACAATTATTGAAATAACAATTTTACATTTAGAATTAAAAAAAAAAACAATTTAAATTAAGAGTTTGACAATTTTAATTTAGAATTGAAAAAGAAACGTTATTTCAATTTAAAAATGAAAAATAAATTTTTAGCTTAGATTTGCATAAAAGAATTTTAACTATATAGAAAATATATAGTTTAAAGTGTAAGTTTTAAAACTCTAAAATTTTGTATTTATATATTTGATAATGTATAAAGAATCTTGACTAGCAAGATTTCTTCTTTATATAGAAAATAATTAATTTATTATATTTCCATATAAATTTCGAATATTTCGAATTAACATTAGATTATAGGTTTGTAATTATCTTTAGATTACGATTAAATATTACTTTATAATAATGTTTATTATATTTAGAAAATTATTTCCATTTCCATTTTTTCTTTGTGAAAATGATAGCTTTGTCAATTTCTTTCTTTGTAATTAGAGATCGAAATTAGATTTTTTAAAAGTTAGTGTTAATTATAATTTATTATAATATGTGAAAGCAAATAACAAATTTGTAATATTTAAAAAAAAATTATACGTATGTTCTTTGAATTAGAAAGAGTATTTTTTTTAATACCATTTAAGAGTCGTCGCTAAATTTATCAACTTTTATTTGTTATTTTCTTTTTTGCACTTGGAAACATTTTTCAAACATTTTTTTTACGTTCCCTTAATTGACTAAAAAAATTTAATTTAAGAACATTATTTAGGTAACAAAAATTAAATTTAAAAAAATAATTTGATTGTATAATAATGAAATATTCTACATTGTTTTATCAAATAATTATTATTCGAGTGCGAGGTAACCTACTTTAAAGATCGAATAGTTGCGATTCTTGCGATAGTTTCAATATTGACTTTACTCATATTGTAAATCTTGTTTTTAGTATATAAATTTTTAATCATAATAATTATCTTACCATTTCATTTTAACAAAATATTATAATAAAAATCTTTTTCCTCTCAATTTCGCTCTCAATTCGAAATTCGTATTTTTTACTCGCACTTTTAAATTTTTGTCGCTGAATAGGAAATTCATTTTCAACTTTTAAGAGCAATGTTCCTTTTTTTCTCCTTTTCATTCAATTTCTTTTTTTTTCTTTTCATTTTGATCGATCAACGTTTTTTCTTCACTTGTGTGCTACCAGAATTGTATGTATGGTCTACTTTTTTTACGAGAAAAACTTTAAAAGCCTGATTACTGCCTTTTCAACTGCCATCGAAATTTTTATTTGCCTTCTTTTTTTGAACTTGAATATAGAACAAAAATTTTGATTTTAAATTAATTATTTAAATTTTCATCTGGAAATTATTTGCATATTTTTTCAAAAAAGAGTTTTTTTGTTTTTTACGGGAATCGAAAGAGTTTTCGTTTTGTTTTTGCAAAACTGCTTTTTCATTTTTGCAGTAATTAAAAAAAAAAAAAACAGTTGTTACAATTTGAGATTTTAATGATAAATCAGAGATACATGGATAATAAAAGAGAGGAAGAGAGAGAGAGAACGAGAGAAAGGATGGGGGAAACACTTCATCATTGAAAATCAATCAATTAAATTCAACTTCATTAAATTTACATGTACCTTCTGCTTTGATTGAAGCCATCAATTTTGATCATCGTAACATTTATCGTCACTTTTCTCATGTCTGTATGATTCATTAATGTCCCTCATATTCATTTTGCAATTCAAAACCAAATTCTAACAAACAATTACGTTCTTTGTAACAATTTCTATAAATAAAAGTCACACCATTAAAAAGTCTTCCAAAAAGTATCGAATTTTTAATCATTAATTTAAATCAACGTGGAATTTGAAATTATTTTCCACTCTTTACCAATTTTTACCATTTTTAGCTAATATTTAGCGCATTTTAGAAAAAAAAGAAAAATATTTCACATTAATAAAATAAAAATATTTTTATCTGTGAATTAAATTGCAAACATTCTATTTTTAAAAGTTGGAATATATTCTCTCAAAAATTCTCAAATATCGTCAAGTTAAATAAATAAAATCGATTTAAGTTGACATTAAATTAAAAAAAAAAAAATTAAATATTATCCACTAGTAGAGAAACTATAAAAGATTAAAGATAGATTAAAGATTTGACAAAACGTGCCAAAAAGAGAAGAAAAAAAATTGCCTACACCAGCTACTTTAATAAAATGAAAAAATCTCTCTAAACTCGTTTGAACTTTTAAAGTAGTATGATGATTTAACGAGAGAGTAAAAGGATTCTTTCCTTTAAAAGTTGTTATTTAAAATTTTTCCCTATTTCATATGAATATAAAATTTGGTTTTGGTATGAATTATAAAAAGAAATTTAAAAAAAAAAAAAAAAAAAATCCGTACCAAGCAGTGTTTTGATGAAGTAAGTTGAAACGCATGCGTCACTACGGTCTCTAGAGTCTAGAACAAACCTTCGACTTTGTTATTGAAACATATTTGCTAAAGTTGGCTTGGAGCTTCATTTCTCTCTGAAGTCGCGAACAAGAAGGATCGGAGATCGGTTCAGTCTTACGGAACATCGACAATTTTCCACTTGACCACACTTTCATCGTATTTACAACGAACCACCCTGGAATATACATCCGTTCAGTATATTAGTAGTGAAATATATTTTTTTATATTTAGAAAATTTATATAATTATTGTATTACAATTTATATAAATTCACATCAATTTTCAATATATTTAATTTATTTTATTTATTATTTCAATTCAAATTTACGCAGCTATTCTTTTCTAATTTGTATTTATTAATACTTCATTACTAATAATTACTTAGTTGTCTATTTTTCAAAAAAAAAAAAAATATATAGAAATTGTCTTTATTAAAATAATAAAAAATGGACACACTGGAACCCCTATTTAGTGGAAACATCCCAAAGTCACTAAAATAAGTGTGCTTCTTGATTTACAAATATCTTTTTCTACATTCGTAAAAGTGAGCCGAAAAAGTAGTAAAGAAATCAAAGGATTAATTACATTTTACTTGACACGCGACTCTTTAAAAAGTCCTCCTCCTCCTCCTCCTTTTTTTTTTTTTTTTTTGAAAGAAAAAGAATTTCAAATATTATGTTTAATGGAAACGTTTCTATATCCCTTTTTCATTGTGCTAAATTGATCTCTGAATTTTATTTTTTAATCCGAGATTTTATATCGAATTTCAAATATTCTTGAGGAATTTTTAGATTGTGTGAATCTGTGTTGAGTGTCAGAGGAGATGGTGCCAAAGAGAGAAAGAGCGAGAGAAGTGGGATATGACGCATATATTTCACAGATCATTCAAGAGGCTTGGTTTTAGCTTTCGATTAAATTTTTTAAGGACACTCAAAAACGAAAAAAAAAACTGAAAATACTTTATATATAATTTGAGTATTTTTATTTTTAAAAACTTTATCACTTTTTAATTAATATGACGTGACTTTGCAATTGAAGATACTTTTTATATAAATGTATATTTAGAAAAGTAATTATTTATTGCAATTACGTGTATTGTGTTATATTTTAATTATATTATTATTATTATTAATATTAGGCGATCTGATGTTACTCAGGAACTTCCGTTTAGTCGGAAAATATCTGCGATCTTTGACTAATAAAACAACACTGCATATACTGTGTATATGTATTATTAATATTATTATTATTATTATTATTATTATTATGAAATAATCATTTAGAGAAAATGTTTTTAATTTCTAAAATAGACATTTAAAAGAATATCATCTATATACATATACATCTTTTTTACTCTCGTTCTGATTAACTTGTTTCCAATGGATTACTTAAACAGCTTTCAATGCTTATCGACCGGAATTTATAGACATTGCTGGAGTATAAATATTAGTTATTGAGGACAATATAGAGCCTTTAATTCAATTAGGTAACGCACTAGTTAAAGGTAAAAGGGCTTTGTACAGAATCATTTTTTCCTTTCTATAAAAAAATTATTTTTCCAAAAATCCTTTACTTTTCTTTGTATATTTTTCGACTCATCTAATTTACGATTGTAAAAATAATTTAATTTTCAGAAATACTGTTTTATTATTCAAACTCGATGTAGTTATACTAAAAATTGAAAATTAAATAAATTTCGCAATAAATTGAGATACTTGATCTTTTATAAAATGTATACGTACTCTTAATTTATGACTCCCTTGACTTTTCTACTTTAGTATGTAAATTGGTTCATTCAATTTCATTGATTATAGAATATTAAATTTTAAGAACAATTTAGTTTTTTTAATACTGTTCTTCTTATAGTTAATTCGTTTCATTAAAGTTGAAAATTAATAATTTCCAAACAAATTGATTGTAATACGTGATAAATTATATTTTAAATCCATTTTTCAGGCGACTCGGTTGACTTTCCATTTCGATCCATTTCGATTTATTCAATATAAATCGGAATTATCCGTTCTGTTGTTAATCCAAACAATTGTAATTGCTTCCTGAAAAATAAAAATTATAAATGTTTTAAAAAATTATTTACGGAAAGTAATTATATAATTTCCTACTTTGACTTTTAGTTTCATATATAGTGAAATTGGTTCAAATGATGTTATTATAAAATATTCAAATTAAATGCTGAATAATTATCAATTAGAAAATGAAAGTTTTCTTAACTTGAAAATCGTGAGATTAAATGACGAAATTTATAATGAAACGAAACAAATTATATATTAATGTATTAATTACATGCAACATTTTAGAATTTACAATAAGGTATGTACGTGATGGAATTTAAATATACTCTTCTTTTTTCATTGGAATGCTTTTGTTTCATTTGATATTTAACAAAACAATAATAATAGTATATATCGTTATATACTAAAGAATGTTAAATATTTGATAAAATGAAATAAAATGAGAGAGTGAAATTGCAAAATTTGTCTACTTTATTAATATAAAGTAAACACTAAACGTCACTGTTATTGTAAATTCTAATTCAATATTTTATTAATATTGCAGGTGATCGAATCCTGAATACTTATTGAAATTTAATAGTCTAATTAACGTGACGTCGATTACTTTATCTGCTGTCTCGTTTAACGGATCGCTTACCCTTCTCCTCGTTCTACAAATTGAATTACACTTCTCCAACATTATCTCTGTTATTTGACTTTACAATACAAAAGAACAAAATGAGTATCACATTAAAATGGATGTAAAACAGTTTTAAAAGTCTTCTTTTCATTTACTAATTAATGTTTTTACGATTTATGCGATTTCCATAAAATACGCTACTGTTTATAACGCAGGTCATGTACAAAATGTGTTATTCATTTTCCCAGCTTTGTGCAAAATTTTCTCTCGTAACATTCGTACTTATAATGTTTAAAAATTGTACCATTTTATTTTCAATGACATAATAAAATTATGCCTCGATTGTAATTGTATTTTAAAAATTTCATTCTTGACCCAAAAAAGAACCGAGAAAATTTAATCAAAATCTGCAATATTTGTCAAAAGTCATTTTACTTTTTTAGACAATATGTTCATTATGGTAAACATTCCTTTTTTTAATACAAGAACTTTCACCATATACTTCGAGTTCATTAATTCATTAATAATATCAAAATAAATGATTGTAACCTAATCTTGATTCATTCCATTCATTCTACTCCTGATTTCCTGAAAAAAAGGGATGTAAAAAATAAATAAAAAGATTACATTTTTTAACGTAAAAGTAAAAAACTATAAAAAATACGAAAAATACTTTACCTATTATATACATATGTATATATTCTATAGAATGTAAAAAAAAACAAATGAGTGAAATATTTGAAAATGCAGCAGGTATAAAAAAAAGAGGTTAAGTTATCTTCCGTTAATGTAAAAAGCAGTTTCCGATGTCACTAACCGCAGTAAACAGGTGAAAAAAAAAGTTTCAATGTTCTCGCGGAAAAAAACATTCATGACATATGAAAAGTCTGAGGGGCACAGCGTGGAAATCACGGAAAAGCAATGAGCAATGAGCGCGAATTGGCATAGTAGATGTGTTATATAGGAGAGAGAAAAGCGGGTAAGCAGCCGCGAAGTTGCGCATGCGCACGAGGTACGATTTCTACGCTTGAGCCGCGTCGTCACAACGCAGAGAGAGACCAGGGAGAGACGATCAGAATGCATCAGTGACGTTTTGGAAAAGCCTCGTCTACTACATTGAGACGGGCAGAAAGAAGCTTCTGCGATGGACCAAACGAAAACGCCAGTTTCTCGGCTTCTCAATACATCCTGCGTTGAGAATAAGGACGATCTGGAAGAGGTAATAAATAATAAATAAATAACGTATCGAGTGCTATGTACGCCATTGTTTTGGCGACACCATTTTTTAGTGCGGGGGCGCCACGTGTTTTTTGTCGTGCGGGAACTTTCAATTTTTTTGTTATTAACAATTTCTATTTTTTTAATCATTTTTTTTGGTATAGGATGAAAATTGATAAAAATTGTGCTTCGATAATTATCGAAAAAAAAGTGCAATTTGTTTAGTGTTTGTTTTTTTGCGGTATTCGAGAATCTGTTTTTAATCCCATGGGTCATTCCAGAACAACTATTTTTCTAGTTCAGTTAATTCTAATTAATATTTAAATACATTTTTGGTCCTTTTTTATGTTTTAATGTCTTCAATAATTACTGAAAATCATTTTATCTAAACTATCTTCGGGTTAGAAAATGTTATAGGGAGCAATATCCTAAAAAATATTCCTTAACAAAATAAAGTTCATTGTGAAAAATGTACACACTTTTTTCTTAAACTAGATAATTTACTGAGAATTTAATTACAAAACAATTTGAATCTCAAGCTATTTAATGACAATTTTTAATATAAAATTTGATAATTAAATTCAATTAAATGTTTAGAGTAAAAATTTATGTACATATTAAATGTGAAATAATTTTGTACCAGAACCTTTTTATTTGTTTTGGAATTTTTTCTAAATAATCAAGAAAAAACTTATAACGAAATCAATTTTGTATTTAGTGTCTTAAAAAGTAAAACCACCTTTTGTGATTTTAAAGACTGGGAAACACTTGTTAACGACTTTTATAATTTTACGTTTAGTTTTCTTTGTTATTAAAATACATTTTCTATTTGAAAAGTTGACATTTGGGATCACTTTTAAAATAGGTTGTTAGAATTATTTTAATTAACTCACTGATAAAAATATATTTACAAATCGTCTGTTTTAGAACCTTTAAAACAAACTTGAATTCATTTTTAGGTTATGTCAAAATAACGGAAGAAATAAATTCAAGAAAAAAAACTTTAAAAGAATGAAAATCTAATTTTTTAATATTCTAATTGATCAATTAATTGGTATATCGAAAGTTGATTTTTTCTTATTTTTAATAAAGACAATTTTAAGCAGTGAGAAGATAATTTTTGGCCTCAGATTTTTTTTACAATGACTTATAATATCAGCTGTAAAGATTACTGTGTAAATTTACACAAAATTGCTAAGCACGTTATATTAATAACTTAAATTTTCGTCAGTCATTGAAACTCATTCTTTTCGAAACTACTATTTTAAGGGAAATTTGTATTTAAACATAACTTTGTAATATAATTAAGTATTTAAAATATTTTATATATTTTTATATTGTAATGTATTTATTTTTGTTTTTAGAAATTCGAAAGATGCTACTTGGTGCTGCAAAATTTAACTGCAGGACTGTCAGAGAAAGAAGCGCACGATACGTTGAATAATGCTGTTTGCAAGGAGAAAACATACGAGGAGGTTTCATTGGGCTTACTTGTTGTAATCCTCTCGGAACCGCAAAATGCTGCCAAAAGTTACAGGGACTTAAATTTGATTTCAAAAGATGGATTAAATATTGTTTTGAATCATTTAAATCAATTAGTGTTGGAGAGATATTTACGATTGAACGATTGCGCTAGAAATCAATTACTTTGGTTATTACGTGAAATGATAAGGAATAGTGTCGTGAGTGTTGATACGCTGTGTTTAAGTTTATTGAGGCACGCGGCCGGTGGCGACACATCGCCACGTAATTTATTTCTCGTCGATGCACTTTTAGAAATATTTCAAGACAATCGCCCTTGGCTGGATAAATTCCCCATTTTAACAGCATCAATTGTTTATACTTATCTGCGATTAATTGAGGATCACAGTGCAGCACATTTGGCGAGTCTTAGGCAAAAGGAAGTCACCTTTATGGTGAATCTCATTCGAGAGAGATTGATTGACTGTCTAGTTATTGGAAGGTAGATATTTTAGTTATAAATTAGTAGCGAACGGTAAAAAGAACCAAGAGTTGTAGTCACTCTGCTGGAATTAATTTTCCAAGTGAAATTTAAAATTATAATGATGTATTTAATTGAATTTTCTTCGCAGGGATCTAGTACGCTTATTGCAGAATGTCGCGAGAATACCAGAATTTGAGGCATTATGGAAGGATCTATTGCTTAATCCGAAGTCGCTTTGTCCAAATTTCACTGGTGTTTTACAACTTTTACAAACTCGAACATCGCGTCGATTTTTACAGTCGCGCCTCACACCCGACATGGAGAGAAAGTTGGTGTTCCTAACGAGTCAGGTGCGTTTCGGTAACCATAAACGATATCAGGACTGGTTTCAGAGGCAATATCTTGCCACCCCCGAATCTCAATCGTTAAGATGTGATCTCATACGATTTATCGTTGGCGTCATTCATCCGACGAACGAACTATTGTGTTCAGACATCATTCCCCGATGGGCAGTTATTGGCTGGCTGTTTACAACTTGCACGTCGACTGTTGCGGCGAGTAATGCGAAATTGGCTCTCTTTTACGACTGGCTGTTCTTCGATCCCGAGAAGGATAATATTATGAATATTGAGCCGGCAATTTTGGTAATGCACAATTCAATGAGATCACATCCTGCCGTCACTGCCACGCTTTTAGATTTTCTATGCAGGGTAACATTTTATTATCATTTGGAGACGGAAAGTGTTTGGAGAAGATGAAAAATGCTAATGGAAAATTATTTTCTTTGCAGATAATACCAAATTTTTATCCGGCGCTAACGGAGAAGGTGCGAAATGGAATATTCTCGTCATTGAGGCAAATTTTGGAGAAAAGAGTTCTGCCGACTCTAAATCCACTGTTTGACAGTCCGAAATTAGATCGTGAATTACGGTGTAAAATTCGTGAAAATTTCAAAGAATTTTGCCTCCCACCAAATGCTGATCTTGGTGAGAATTTTTTCTTCTCCTGCATGTAGATTAATTTTATTTCACTGTGGTGGTTTTTTTTCAATTCAAACTGCTTTAATTTTGCCAACAAAACAAACAGGGTTGCTGCGGCCATAGAAAAATTGTTAATATTAACATTCAAGAAAATAATCATCTGGAAAAGTCATGGAACTTTAAAAATTTGAAACCGTAGCAACTCTGTAACTAATAATTTTCGAGCGTTAGACATTTTTTTTAGCACTTTTATTTATTTGAGCACCATCAACGCTTACTAACTTTGGTTTTTGCACGATGTTTTCCTAAACAGGTAATAAGCTTCAAATATATTCAGGTAAAATGGAGGAACTTAGTAAAGATCTAAGTCCAGGACTGATGCTGGAGAATACTGGCATTGCAATGACGGAAAATAATCACATGGGAGCTGAAACGGAACCCGCCTTTAGCGACGAAGAAGAAGAAATGCCCCTGAGGTACAGTGTCAAACAATTCCTTTTTTTCTATTCACTCTCATTTTATTCGACAAAAGGAAAATAAATTTAGTCAAAAATTCCAATTGAAATGACATGAATGAAAAACAGAATTATTAGATTATAATTAATGAAAGATTTTTTCCATTTATTCAGGATAGTGACAAAGTCTGAAGATATTCACGACGTTGATATACCACTGGCGAAAGTGAAACCGTTAAAAAATGAAAAGAACTTGAATTGCGTGACAAAAAGGGAGGATATAACGACGCAATTGAATTTAATTTTAGAGCCCGAGGAATTGAAGACTGCTATTGAATGTTTACATATTGAAAGTGATAATGAATCGAGATGTCAAACAATGGAGAGGATAGTGCAAATGATTGTCGAAGATGAAATTGAAACTGAAACAATACCGGCATTAGCTACTTGTATTTCTTCCATTCTCGCGTCGCAAATAACCGCCGACATTTTTCCCGCTGATAATCTTAATGAAGATGCATTCGCCGACAGTATAAGTACACCACTTTTTGTTATGTTTAGAAATCAATTTCAACTCTGCAAGGAGGTTGATAATAGAAGAAAACTTCTCGCTCGTGTATTAGCTGAAATCCAATCGATTCAACCGCGAATTGGTTATATTCTCTTATATTTTCTAAAGGTCTGGGGTAGAGAGGAAGAGAAACGAGAAGGCGAACCAAGGTAAATTTAAGAGGCCACTACATTTTTTCTCTTTCTTTCAACGTATTGAAACTAATTTACTTTTCTAAAAACAAAATCAGCCCTGAAAAATTATAATTTTTTTTCTTGTTCTTTGTTTTAGTAACGTATTGAATGACGTGAAGGCGTCTGTCTACAAGGACTTTTGTTCTCAACGAGAGAAGAAGTTGGATTCTTGTTTGGTAGCCGATTTAAAGGTAATTTAATTAATTTTCAAATAATTTCTTTTTAATTTGAACTTTTAAAGTAAGAAAAAAAATTTGTCTTTAGCTCTGCCATGAAGATAACATACCGTTACTCTGTTACCTTGTACCTGACGTTTATACGGAATTTCAAAATGTAGCGTTGGGAAATATTCATCTCTTACATTTAGTCGTATCTACTGTTGATCCATGTCAACTTCAAGATTTAGTTTGTCAAATCATGCAAGGACATTTAAAAATGCTTAAAAAAGAATCCTTCTCGTCTCTATTAACGGCGAGTTTGAATTGGGATACTTTCGAGCAATACTGCTTCTGGCAGTTGATATTCGCACACGACTTTCCCATTGATTATGTACTTCCAATTCTGCCGAAACTTCAATTTAAGGAAAATGCGGAAGCACTCACTTCAATTCTATTGATGTTGAAGCAAGAAAAGTAAGTAAAATTAACTAAAAATAAATTTAGATAGAAGAAAAGAATATTTATTTTAATTGAAAATTTCAGACCCTCGTTAGAACTTTTGAAGCAATTGTTCAATCGACAAAGCGCAGAAGGCGACATGTTTGTTGCGTCGGCACTTCGCTATTGGTGTCGGGATTATGAGGAAAAACTTGGGGAGCTACTGGCAAATCTGTTGAGTACACGATATCCTGCGACAAGTCCAAATAAACGAAAGCGAACGGGTCCAAAGCAAAATCAACAATCGGGACCGCCGTCTGGCGAGCAAGTTCTCGGCCATTTGGATCAATTGCGTCAGCAATGTTTGTCAGCGTCTGAGTTGCAATTATATCAGTCGGAGGGAATGCAACGTGCACTTCAACAGGCGCAAGCGGCGAGTAGTGATTCATTGAGAAAAAGTTATGGCGATCTCTTTGCACTTGCCGAGGTTAATGAGGAAAACCAACCGCCACCACCACCGCCGCCCACAAGTTCGTCGAGAAAGCACACGTCAACGTCAATTGGAAGCAGTGCCGGCAAGGAGAGTTATCGACGAGCTGGCGCAAGTACAAGGGAAAGAAATGCATTTAAGAGGCAACCACCGAGAGACAGGAATTCAGAGAGTAGCGAGCAAAGCAGTGAAGTAAGTCTACTTTCTTTCGAAGAACAGTAGGAGAGTTATCGACGATTATTTTTCACTTTCAACAAACCTATCGTAGTTGGTCCCATTTTCCCTTTTTGTCCCCTTATTTCAATTTTATCACCTTTTTCTTTTTTTGAATTCAGTGAGTTTTATTTTTGATTTAGATTATTAACACCACAACATTTGTATGTTAATGATTTAAATAATATAGATATCGTAAAGAATTTTGTAAATTATAGGTTTGTTTATTCAACGGAATGCAGACCTCTAGAAAAATAATTAACATTTAAATAATTAAAATATTATTATTAATAGCTTTTTTATAGGAAAACAAAAATTCTAATACAAAACCTTCAATTTTTTCCATTTTTGACAATAATTTCTTTTTAAATAACTTAATTCTTGAAGAACTATCATAAAATTATAACTAAGAAATTATTTAATGAATAATTTTATTTATACATTTCAAAATTAATTGAATTTTAAAATAGTTTCGTTTACAATTTTCATAAATAGATGAACTTAAAAAGATTTTAATTTAAAAAATTTATAAAATGTCAATTTTGAATGAATTTCATTAGAAATTCAAAAGAATTTAAATTTTTGCAAAAAATTTCAAAATTTAAATAATTCTGAAATTAGTTAATTTTTTTCTATATTTAATTAATTATTAAAAATAATGAATTTATCGAAAAATTTTAGTTAAAAGTTCTAGAAAATAATAATTGAATTGAAATGATGAAAATAATTTTGAACAAGTTACAGTAAAAATATTTTTTATAGTAGAAAATAATGATTTTATCACTCGGTCATCTTTAATGGATAATCATGGAATTTTATGTATAAACCTTGAAAAAACCTGGAAAAGTCAGGGAATTTGGATCGGAATCTTGGAAAATTATTGTGCTTATTCCTTGAAATCTAATTTTACTTAAATATTTTAAAATTAATTCAATTTGAAAAAAATTGCGTTTACAATTTTCATAAATAGGTGAACTTCAAAAGGTTTTAATTTTAAATTTTACAAAATTTCAATTTTCAATGAATTAATTAAATACTACAAATTTCACAGGAATTCTATTATTTACAAATTTTTTTTTATAAATTTCTTCGCAATAATTCAATTATTTTCATGAAGAATAATATTTTTTACCAGCAATTCAATTATTTTCATATATAGGTTTTCAATTAATTTCATAAATAATAAAAATCATCGCCGAATTTCAATTATTTTTAATACAATTTTAATGGAATTTCTCGAAAAATGTAATTATTCTTAAAAATTTTATTATAATTCATCAAAAAAAAAAATTCAATTATTTTAAAAAGCCATCCTATAATTTATGTATTATTTTCAAAAATTTTAATAAAATTCTTTTTAACAATTCAATTTTTTTTAAAAATAATTTTAATAAAATTCTTCGTAGAATTAAATTAATTTCAATAATTTATCAAAATTCAATTATTTTTAATATCTACGTATTTCAATAAAATTTCACAAAAGAATTCAATTATTTAAAAAGCAATAATATATCATTAAAACTCGTCTCAAGAATTCAATTATTTTCAAAAGTAATATAATTCTTCAGAGAAATTCAATTATGGTCAAAAGTTTTAAAAAAATTCTCGTCAAAATTTCAATTATCTTTATAAATAATAAAATTATTCTTCAAAATTCAATAATTATTTTGAAAAAATTTAATAAAATTCATGGCAAAATTTCAATTATTTTCAAAAACTTTTCTCAATTCAATCAAATTTTTTTTAACAGAGATTCAATTATAGTTTTAATGTAATTTTAATCTAATTTCTCGAAAACGGAAATTATTCTGAAAAATTTTATTAAAATTGGTCAAAAGAATTTTAATTATTTAAAAATTTGTTGATAAATTCAAAAGCAAAAAGTCAGTCACTAATTCGAAAATAGTAAACATTTTTACTAATTCAAATTTAAAGAGAAAGTATTATAGCGTGAATTTTTAGAAATAATTGAATTTTGAAAAGGTTTCAAATTATAATCTTTGAAAGTTTAAATTTTTCATACTTTTAACTGAAGATTGTGTAGATTTAATTTTTTTTTAAAGTTTAATGGAACTTTTTTGAAATTATTTCAAGTTTTTATTTTCTAATATATATTTAATTGAAGAATTTCCGAATAATCGATGAAAAAAAAAATTCGATGAAAAAAATGAAATTTTGTAAAATTGAATTGTAAACAAAAGAATTTGAAAATTTTCAAAGAAATTTTTCAAAAATTATTAAAAATGAATGAATAATTAATTTAAAGAAGAATTTTAGTTAAAAATTGTAGAAAATAATTGCAATGAAATGAGAATAATTTTGATGAAGTTACAGTAAGAATATTCTTATAAAATATAAAATAATGATTTTATCAGTCTATCAACTTTAATTATTATTATAAAACATGAAGATATCGATTGCTTCGAGTCGAAGACTCGGAGTGATCGATATCTTCATGTTTTATAACAATTTTTTGAAAATTGTTTAATTTCAAAAAGTTTTGAATTTGAATCTTTTGAAGAATTTTTATTCTTATGGAAAAATAATAATGATTTAATATTTATTGAAAAAAGAAGCAATGGAACATTTTTTTTGAGTATCTAATCATTTTTAGAGTGAATCGCAGAATATTCTTTAGGGAAAAAGTGAAAATTTTGTCTGAAAATTAGGGAAAAGTCAGGGAAAAACAAAATTAAATTTTTGTGTCAACTCTCATTAAAATTATAAATAATTTTTAAAAAAATTTTATGGAACCTATATGATAAAAAAATTTAAATTATATATGCAAGTTGTATAAATAAATAAATTTTTATCCCCTTTTTGAGGAAAAAAGTGCAAGTTTTATAAAAAAAATTTGTTTCAGGAGGAAGAAATCGTGAAATCGAAGCAAGCGAGAAAGAGAAGAAAGACAACGAAAAAGATAGATTCGGATAGCGACTGACCATCTAGTGTCTTCAATTGTCACATGGACCACTTGAAGTGTGTGCAGAAAGCTACGCTAGCCTTAAGATTGATAAGGTAGTATAAATATATACATAAATAGGTCAATGTAGTGAATCTTTGTAAATAACGTATGTTGAATTTCGATCATGAAGGTTTTTAGAGAATCAATTATTAATTATTATTATTATTATTATTATTATTATTATTATTATTATTATTATTAACATTATTATTATTATTATTAATATTATGAAAAGAAACATTACGTCTATTGAAAATCACGAATTATGAACTTGAATTTCTTTTTGACTATTGTTCATTTATTTTAAGTGTTAAAAAAATAGGAAAAAGACTTATTTTCAATTGTTTTTTTTAAATGTTGAGAAAAAATAATTGAAATTCAAAACAAAAAAACAAATAAAATTTGTCAGCGAAAAGATTGATTGTAAAATATTTATCGAATTGGTATTATTAAATACCAAATTTGTTTAAAATTTTTTTAATTATAAAAAGTCTTGTACATCTTTTCTTGAACATCTTTTGACGAAACTATTAAATTAATATAAAACAAATTACAATTTCATTAATGTTAATGATAATTTAAATTTAAAATGTCGATCAAAAGTAGCATAAACGTTTTTTTTTAAATTAAATTATAAAATTGAAATTGCTTTTTTGTAAAAAAAAAGAAGAAAACAATCTCAAATTTATTGAGAATTTAATGTTTTTTTGTAATGATGTTTTGTCATACTCATGAAATTATCTTGCAATTTAATGACACGGTTGCTTTTTTTTCTATATATAAAGAAAAAGATGAAAAATTATTGTATAAGAAAAAGAAAAAACAGACAAAAGGGTCCCTAACTGTATTTTGTAACACCGATGTACCTTGATTCTTAAACTTGAAAAGCTATCGATCGAGTCGAGGGAAGAGAATTTTTGATTTCGATTTTTTTTTCTTTTAAATTATTGTTTATTGTAAAATTTAACTTTATAGTATTTTTAAATTGAAATTTTATTTTTAAATGCATTGATTCTTTGAATCTTGATTTTATTTTCGTTTTTCTTTCTTTCCCTCTTTTAAAATAAATGTTTTCCCTCTCCCCTAAGAAAAAAAAAAAAAAAAAAATTACATATCCTTTTGATATCGAAATTTTGGAATGAAAGTTTTTATGAATTGTAAAATTCTTTTTGACATTGATCTTGATCTGATGGGCTTTCACTGTTGAAGTTACGTTTGAAAAATTGTATTGTACATTTTCTTGTAAAATCAGTTAATCCAAAAAACTGGACAGTTACATTTATATATTATGTAAGTTGTAAATAAATGAAAAAAATCTATATATATATTATATATATTATAAATATATTTAAAAATTAAGAATGCGAAAGCTAAGATCAACAACAATTACAGCAACAATAACAACAAAAATTAAATAAAAGAAGGGTAATTAATTTTTTTTCCCAATCTTCGATATTTGTCTAATTTGCAAAAACTTTTGTTAATTATTATTGATAATATTGACAGGTTAAAATTGCAAGAATGAATGAATGAGAATGAATGACGAAGTAAATATGATGAAATTAAAAAAAGTGTTTTGCGAAAATAAAAAAAGTAGTGAAAGTGAAAAAGAAAACTACGATCGATAGCGTTTACGTCGATCGCAAGTCTGTGTACAATTTATTCGTAAACGCGCAATGCAAAAAAAAAAAAAAACCTGTAGTTATGAACGTTATTTTATTTTTGTTTTTTTTTTACTTTTCAATGTAAATATCGACGATATTAAACATATTTAGGGCCATGATTAATAGGCGAGAAACTTAACAAAAAAAGAAGAAAAGAAAAATTCAAACATTTCGCGATATCGACAGACAAAAAAAGTGTAAACATTTAATGTTTTTAACGATCTTGTACACATTCATATACATGTAAATAATTCAATACATGAATAGATTATCGAATATGAACATTTAATGTTTTTAACGACCTTGTACACAGGATAAACGTAATTGTAAATATATAGAGATTACCAAATAAATATTTTTTACATTATTTCCCCCTCCCCCACAAATTTATCATTTGGAGAATTTTTTTTCTATTGATCGGTTCATCAATATTTATAACAAATAATAATTATAAAAATATTTATCAATTATGTTATTTTTCCCCCCGTGGATGTCCACCTTGTCGTGGTGGTGGGGCTTTTTACTAAGAGGCATCCAAATAGTAAAAAAATTTCATCAGATTTTATGTTCTAATGATGGAAAAATTGAATGAAAGAAAATTTTCTTGAGGGGTTTTTTTTTCTGTAAAAATAATTTCATGAATAATTTTCTTTTGAAAAAGAAAAATGTGAGGAAGGAAAAAAATAGAAGACAAATTTTTATTTATGGCATAAATGGATGTATTTTTCTTCACACTGAGAGAGAAATAGGAGACTGGCTTGTTTACGAGAAGATAAATAAAATTGCAATATCACTTGTCACGTATTATTACTAAAGACACAAGGATGCACCTAGAATTAAAACGCATTGCGTACCGACGTTTTTTATCGACGCGGTGGAAAATTCAAAATTCGCAAACATTATAACAATAAATGTTTTCTCTTCTTCTAATTTACACAACCTTTTTTTTAATAACTTGTGCCAATTTTGATTAAAAAAGTATGTACGTAGAAAATGGTTTGTGATGAAACAATAAAAATATAAAAATGAATCCAAATATTTGGATTTCAATTTTTTTTTTTTTTTTTCTAAATTCTTTTCCGTTAGAATGTTTTTTTAAACAGTTCAATTTAAATAAAAGGAAACATGAAACTCTTTGGAATACTTTCAAATATTAATTGGAGTTTTTATTTTTTACTTTTATTTTATTTTCATTTTATTTTTATGTTTAGATTTATTTTTCCTTTCCTTTCCTTTTTTATTTTTAAATTGGATTGGCAAAAAGTTATTAAAGCTGGTGTATAGATTCGAGAAAAAAAGTGAAAAGCAGCAAACATCAATTCGTTATATCACAATATTTCAATTAAAAATATGTTTCGGTACGCAAAATGTCCTTTGAAATTCCTTCGAAACTTCTTTAGTATTTCGTGAATGATAAATATAATTTATTATTTTCTTCTTTATTTCGTTTACTGGCCTTATCGGTTTAAGACAAAATTTGTTACGCTCACAAGTTTTTTTTTTAATCATTTTTCTTTTTCCTTTTCCTATGAAGAAAATTAATCTTAAACTTTTTTTTTACATTTGTCTTTTTTATATTTGTATTTATATTTGAATACAAATATATTTTATTAGTATTTTATTATTTTTTAATCTTTTTTATGATAGTAAAATTAAAAATTGAATTTATTTTCTATATTTTTTATTAAATTATCAAAAAGTAGATGAGTTTAATTTTCTTCAAATAATGGCGATATTTTCGTTTTACAATATGTCGAGCGTATTTTTTTTTGAGGGACAATCGATTTTGTGTCGTTCGAAAGAAACTTGTTTCTTTTTTCAATTCCGTGACAATATTTAATTAAAAAAAAAAAAAAGACAGTGTTAAAATTCTCGACAGTCGTTCGTGTAATGTACATCTGTCTTGAATAAAAAATTAGTTGGTTCCCGATGTTGAAAAAATGTTTCCACCTTGAAGCAGTTGAAAAAGATTCGATTTTTTTCTGTTCAAGAATATTTCATTTAAACTCGTTTAAAAAAATCCTTTTTTCATTTTATTACTTTTGTTCAGATTTAAAAAAAATAATTAAGATAGAAAGTTATATAATATATGATATTATATAATATTTACTATTTATTAAATAATAAAAGAATGTTGCTATAATAACAATAATAATTGATAATAATAAAAAAAGTAATAAAATGATTGTCCCTCTGATGATAGACTACATGGAAAGTGGATCTAGCTAGAGTAGAGAAATAGTTTCGTTTTGTCTGTTTATGTGCACTTGTTACTATACATATTTAAACATGTTTCGTTTCTTTAGAGCCTTTACACACATTTTTATCAGTGTACAATTCGGAAGTATAATGAATACTATACAAAGATTTTCACACGCACACAGCATACTCATCGCTTTCACAAAAAAACCAAGCACTCCAAACACTCAGAATTATAATATAATTCGATTTTGTACGCTATTTTGTTTTCTTTTTTTTTTTTTTTTTGTTGCAACAAACATTTTTTTGTCTTAAATATCACTCATTGCATACAAAGACTACAGATTTTTTTTCTTTTTTCTTCTATTAACACATTCTTATTTATACAATCGCGAGGCAATAAAATGTCATTGTTATCACATCTTTAAGAATAATATTCGTGTCTATTATTCGAGATTTTATTTAATTTACTTTTTTCTATGCATTTCCTCTTAATTGCCGCTTTATTATCACTAGTAAACTAATTAACGACTTTGGAAAAGAAACACCGATTTTTGAGGGTTAATAATTTTCCATTAAAATATCAAAAAGAAAAACTGTTAGTATTTTCTTTTATTTCTTTCACTCTAATTTGTTTTACTCCCTTTTTTTACTATCAGCTTATTAAAATGTTTTGAAAATATTAATAAAAATTAAAATAACAAAACCCAAATTTTTTAAAAAATGACTGACTTTTGAAAATTATTTAGCCAATTTCGAAGAAGATTCAAAAAAAAGTGGAATAAAATAACACTTATAGTTTTCTTTGATTTTTATTTTAAAAAAACTTATTATCCCTCTCGAATCAAACAATTATTCAGATTTTCGATTCTGTTTTAAATTCATAATTTTTTTTCCATAAAAATTAATATAAAATATAAAATCTTTAATTCTGATACATTTAAAAGGAACTTTTTTTTAAAAAGAATTTATTCTCTACATTTCAATATTACTGAATTTAAAATAAAGTGTTAAAAAATTTTGTTTCGATAAAATTTTCAATTTAACGAAGTAAAAGTTTTACAATTACAATAATATATATAATATTCTATATTTAAAAATGTTTGTACAATTTTTTTAATTACTTTAGTAATTTCTATATTAAAAGAGAAAACTTTACACAAAACGTAAAATTGAAGTATTTTTTTTAGTGATTTTCCACTAAAACAATTATTAATTGAATCCAAATAGGCCGATGGTCATTGTTTTGATTACAAAATGACTATTGTGTTTAATAATACAACGCATTAATGGTGCTGACAGTAGGAATATCTGTTTCGGTATATGAATTGATCCTCGACAAATATATTGTATACACAAACATCAGAACTTATGAACAATTTCAAAAATTACATTTTTCAATTTTCTCCAACTCGAAAAAAAAATATATTCTAAATTAAAGAATACTTATTTAATTCTACAACTGAAATTTTAAATTCAAAATAATTTTCACAAAAGGATCATTTCTGGCTATCACAAAGTTTACATTTCTAAACGAAATTTCTTATTTAAAATTTTTTTTAAATTTCTTATTTGTTTTAAAATAAGAAAATGAATTATATTCTTGAAATTTAGAGTATCTTTGACTTTTTCGAGTTTTGGAAAAAGTTTGAAAAATTGATCAACAGTAACAGTATGCAAAAAAAAAAGTTTTTTTTAGAGAAAACAATATTTTTACAGATCTTAATTATGAATAAATTCAGTCTAGTAAATCACTTCGTAAACTGTGGCTTTTTTATCACCTGAACCGGTCACGATGAATTTGTCATCAGTCGAAATGTCACAACTCAACACTGACGATGACTCCTTTGACTGCAAATAAAAGCAATTCAAATTTTACAACAAACGAATACTGAAAATAATTTTTAATTATTGTTTCTGACATTTAAATATCGATTAAAAAGAATAACATAATTATATATAATATTTATTATATAAAATTTAAATATCGATATTAAATATTTTCAAATAACATATAAAGAATGAATAATGTTTTGCGGGAACATTACTTCAATGAAACGTACATAAGATTTATAAGAATGACAGAGACATTCAGTTCAGTGAATGTGAATTTTATATGAAAATAGGTAAAGACGATATCTTCCAGCCAATTGACCGACTAAAGTTGTCTTTATCTACTAAACGCAAAGTGAATTCAAAAAAATTTTTTTTTTTATAATTTTCGTTTAAAAAATTCATAAACATTTTTTTCAGAAAAATTAATATAATTCGTCAATAATACTTAGAATTTAAATTTACTATTTTTCATTTAAAGATAAATTTAAATTTTTCATTTTTACTGCATTAAAATTCTTTTTTTAAAAATGTTTCTGTAAATATTGTCTATGGGGTAAAAAGTTTTTCATCCATATAAACGAACGTGAAGCAATTGTTTAAAAGAAACGTATAATTTTATTGATTTTTCATGGCTCTTTAAAGTCAATATATATTTTTTTCATTCTATTTTTATTTTAGACCTACTTTTTGCATTCTTTTTTGTTTTCAATATTTAATGTTTAAAAAATGTTTTTGCCAGCCGTTTAATTTATCGCAACGTAAATTTTGTGCAAAAAATATTTCAAAAACTACTATCATTAAAAAGGAAAATTATCTTGGTTTTGAATATATTCTTGCCTCCGTTGCAGTAATACAAGAGTCCTCTCGGTTTACAAAACAACAAAGGTCATTTTTAAGAAATCTCAAAAATTTAATTTTCCTTTTCCCTGACTTTTCTCTGATTTTCAGACAAATTTTTCACCTTTTCCCTGATCCTAAAGAATATTCTGATTCACTTTAAAAATCATTAGATACGCAAAAAAATGTTCTATTTCATTTATTTAATTGTAAAATTATTCGAAAACACCAATTCATTTTTATCACATTTTTATATATTATTCTTCATTTTTAAATAAATATTCAATCTTTATTATTTTTTCGTAGGAATTACAGAGTTTTCACCCAACCTGGAAACGTAGAAAACCTGGAAATGTCAAGGAATTTTAAAAACCTTAAAAAAATTTGGAAATGTCAGGGAATTTTAAAAACCTTAAAAACATTTGGAAAAGTCAGGGAATTTTGATCGAAATCCTGGAAAATAATTGTTGTTTTCTAAAGTTATTGTGTGACTTTTATTTGAGATTTTTTAAAATTTCAATTTTTAATGAATTTAATTCGAAATTTAAAAAAAAATTTAATAACTAAAATTCTTCTGAAATTAGTTACATTTATTAATATACATTTAATTGATTAATAAAAATCATGGATTTAAAGAAGAATTTTACTTAAAAACACTAAAACAAATTGAATTTTGAAGCAATTACAAATGATTGCAGAAAATCAATTATTTTCAAATATTTTAGTATAAAATTCTTGGCAAGATTTTAATTATTTTCAAAAACTTTCCTCAATTTAATGATTTTTAATATCCACTAATTTAATAAAAATTCGCAAATGAATTCAATTATAGGTAAAAAATAGTTTTAATAAAATTCTACGCAAACATTTCATTATTTTCATAAATAATAAAAATTTCACAGGAATTTAATTATCTACAAATTATTTTCATAAATTATTATTCAATTATTTTCATAAATACATAATAAAACTAATCGCAGACTTTCAATTACTTTCAAATCCAATAATTATGTTGAAAAATTTACAAAAATTCTAGTCAAAATTTCAATTATATTTATAAATAATAAAATTTTTCTTCGAAATTCAATTATTTTCAAAAATTTGAATAAAATTCTTGTTAGGATTTCAATTATTTTTAATAAAATTTTCATCAAATTTCTTAAAAAATGAAATTATTTTTAAAACTTTTATTAAAATTTTTCAAGAGAACTCAATTATTTAAAAATTTGCTGATAAAATTCTATAAGAAAATTCAATTTTAAGAAACGTTCAATTATTCAATAAATTATTTATTTGCATTTTATTTGTATTTAAATAATTGAATTCCAGTAGAATTTTCTAATTAAAGTTTAGTTTTAAAAATGAATTTCAGTTAAAAGTTTAGATTATAATTGAATATTAAAAGCGTAGCGTGGATTTTTAGAAATAATTGAATTTTCAAAAGGTTTCAATTAAAAATATTTGGAAATTTGAACTTTTCGTACTTTTAATTAACAATTCTGTAGAATTATTTTTTTTTTTTAAAGTTTAATTGAATTTTTCTTTAATTCTTCAAGTTTCTTATTTTCTAATATATATTTAATTGAAGAATGTGAGAATAATCGCGAAATTACGTAAAATTAAATAGAAAAGAACTTTTTAAAAAATTGATTTAGAGAAGAATTTTAGTTAAAAATATTCTAGAAATGAAGAATTGAATTGAAATGAAAATATAATTTTGAAGAAATTACAGTAACAATATTTTTATAATATACAATACTGATAGTATTAAGTTTTAATTATATTGAATTTCAAATTTTTTAAAATCTTAATTTCTGTAAAAAAAAATAATAATGATTAAATATTCATGTTATGAAACGAAGTTATTGATGTTTTTGAGTAATGTTACAATTAAAGAAATTCGTAAATAAATGTAATAGAGCAGGTAAAAAGTGAATGTTTTGAGTCTGGAAATCAGGGAGTTATTCAGTTTGGTAAAATATAAATGTAGTTTTAAAAACCTGGAGAAATTGGAAAAGTCAGGGAATTTGAAATGAGGAAAAGCGTGGCAACCTTGAATTCAAATTCTTGAAAACATTCAAATTGAAAACTTTTGAAATTATTATAAAACATGTGGAGTGATCGATTTCTTTATGCTTTAATATGCCTCTCAATCAGTAGTCAGAGAGCGCTTAGAATCTTTCCGTTTAATAAAGTCTTATAGTTGAAATGGTTTGACTTTTATTTAAAACCACAAGAGAAACCACTAAGGTTCCTCCACTGTCACCTTGGGAGATTTTCGTAAATTTTCGTGTTTAAATTATTTAGTGAAAGAGGGAAATGATTCTTACTTGGAATATCGATGCTCCGTAGGGAGTGCGCCACGCGTTCAAAAGGTTGTCCTTCCCAGTGGAGACGAACCATTTACCGCAGGAGGCGAACTTCAAAGACAACACACAAGATTCGTGCAGATGAAGTTGGTACTTGTCGGGCTTCGAGGCGTGCAAGACCTCAACATTGGAATTCTCCATTCCCACAGCCAGCCACTCTCCAGAGGGGCAGTAGCCGAGAGAGAATATTTGCGACGTGAAGTCGTGTTGCTGCAATTGTCTGCCCTCCCTGAGGTCCCACGACCTCACGGTGTTGTCCAACCCGCCGGTCCACAGTTTGGAGCCGTCGGCCGATATGTCGATGCAGGAGGCCCCGTCCGTGTGCCCCTGGAACTGCCTCACGAGCGTCTGGTTCTGCAGGTCCCACACGGCGATGTTGCCGTCGCTGCAGCAGCTGAAGCACACCTTGGAGTCGGGCGAGATCGCGAGCGCGTAGCACGCCGGCGCCGAGGACGTGAGTTCGGCTCTGATCCTGGGCGTGGGGCTCGCCAGGTCCCAGATGCTCAGCTGACTCGCCTCGCCCCCGACGATGAGTGTCCGCCCGTCGGGCAGCAGCTTCACTGACCTGATGTAGTTGTCCCGCTGCAGACAGTCCAACTGCGAGACGGGGTTCGCCGTCCCGTTGATCCCCTGCCCAATGTCCCACACTTTCACGCAGCCCTTGCCGCCCGTGTAGACGTACTTTGTCGGGTTCGAAATTGTCACCGCGCACACCACTTCGCCATGGGTCAGGGTGTTGATTTGACGGGCGTGTCGTGGAATTCCCGAGGCCACCAGGGCGTCCGACGGGAACGGCACCGGCTGCAGTTGGCCCTCGCCATTCACCAGAAAGGAGTAAGCACTGGAATCAAATTCTCAATCAAGTCCATATGAAAAAGGAAAAGGAATTCTTCAAATATAAAAGCACGTGAATGAAAGAATGTTGTATGCAATTAGACGGGAGCAGCGTGCGTGTTAATTACAGTGTGTGACACTTACGGCTTACCGCCTGGAATATTGCTTAGTCCATTGCTCGAAGGAAGTCGCACGTGACCATCGAATCCAAGCTGCAAAACACAAGAGATTTAATCTTCCTATAAGCACGTTGAAGCGTAAACAACTCCAGACAAGTCAGATAAGGAACCCGGTACATGCTAACTCATATAATGGAACTACTTTCCCATTCTTTCATATTTTCCGAGATATTTTCCAAAATGGCTAACTCCAACTTATTTTTAAATTGAGAAATTATTCTAAACTTTCAAAAGTATTTATTTCTTATTCTTTGTCGAACCTAACAGTCCGCATTGACAAAATCATTTCTAATGATAATAATTATTTTTGAAGAAAGCACATGATTGTGGCCCATACAGAAGATAAAAGCTGGGAAAATATTGAAGCTTTCTACTTAAGTTCTACTTGAGAAGTAATTATGAATTTATAAATATTTACCATAGTTGACCTGCCATAGTGTAAACTGTTGTATGGCGAAGGTGATTGCGGTGGTTCATTGCCTCGGGACGGCAAGCCCTGAAAACCTTGAGGTGGAGTTTGCTGCGAGGATGGCGGATGATGGACTCGCGACGCCAACGGCCCAGGGATTGCCCCCAATGTTGGCGTACAACTGCGCGAGCCCCTCGAACCCACTAACGGAGTACCCGGTTTGTCGATCTTTAAATATATCGCAAGTTTAATAATGATAGCGAACGTTTATCAAAATCAAACAATTATGTTTATTGTGTGATTAAAGTTGACAAATGTACCGTTGACACTTGGTTTCAAATTTTTGCCTTTCTAAAAACAGGGTGAAAAAGAAAGTCAGTATGTGATCAGTTTTTAAAAACTCGAAAATGGCGGTTTAATTTCTAACCAATTGATCATTTGTTTTGCAATTTTTGTATTGTATGAAAGAGTTTCAGGTCGCTGATTACGATACTGAAGTTTGTTTTTAAAAATTTTAAATTGCGTTCTGCTATATAAATAATAAGTTTATTATATTCTTTTCCGTCAACAAAATTACATGTAGAAGCGTTAAAAAAATGGATGTGTCAACGGTAGATTAAACTTTAAATTATCTTCATTCTTTGTCTCTTAAACTTGTATAATTTATAATCGACGAAACAGGTATCTCAATTGATGTGGATAAATTAACTTGGATAGAAAGTAAATTGTCGAATTTACAATATTTAATAGCAAAGTTAAATTAAAAAGATAAATTCTTCTATAGAAATTTATATATAGTAAATTTGCAATGTACTTTCCATTAGAATTCTTAAATTCTTAATTTTTTTAAAATGAAATTTGAATTAAAATGAAATAAATACTGTGCCATAGATTACGAGGCGAAAGCAATAAAAACGGTATTATTGAGTAAGCAAAATATAGCTTGCTTTTCGCAAGATCTTACATCTTTACTTTTCAGAGAGGGAGTACTCCGTGCTGAAGAACTTCCGCTTCGCGACGGGGGTCTGTCCTTTACAGAGATCGTACCGGAACCGGAAGTTGGACCGCCATGGCCAGAAGAGCCATGCTTCTCCAAAGTACCATTTTCACGTGGCTCTACATGTTCACCATTCGCATGAGGTGACGTTATCTCCTGGTATATGTGTAACACACACCGTAATTGTATAATATTTATCACATCATTCCATTCTGAAATTTTTTTTACTACGAAGGAGGGAGTCACATGAATATTTTCGATATATTTTACAAAATAAAAATGTCCAAAAAGAAATTTCCCGTTTTTCCAACTAATCAAACTGAGACAAAAAAAACACTCTGTTTTATACTCTGGTGAAAAAATTTTCGGTGTAAAGTATAACCACCTTTCCTTCCTTGTATTTAATAGACTTGAATGTTCAAAGACTTACCTCACTGGCAACGTCTACCACAAGGTCCTGGTCACTTTTTTCCCCATCACTTTCCTGAAATGGAAAGTACACATTATTTCTCAAATATTTTATGTTTACCGAATGCGTCGTAATTCATAATTTTATAGTCAAGTGATGAAGAGACATATGGAAATAAAATGTGAATTCAAGTAACTGAGACTCAATGGGCAAAGTTCTATACTGTACCTGAATATGAGAATAGAAGGGAAATTTTAATTCAAGTTTTAGCGAAAAAAGACGTGTAGCATTGAGCCTTTATGTAATAAATAGATGTGGATTCAAGGTGCTTTGCGGATCCCTCGTCAAATTCTGTTCGGTACATTGCCGACGATTCCATCGATAGAGATTAGAGATTATGTGCGAGAGACACGCAATAAATTTGTACACGGACGATGAACTTGGGTAAATAGAAACCTATAATAGTAGGTATTGATTTCTCTCACACCTACATGTATAACAAGCTAACTATCCAATGACACATTTTGAAATTACAGCTTCTACAAAATAACTCCAATATTATTGTGATCAGAATTCTGGTTGATTTAATTGGAATTGCGATTTTAGAGCTGAACAATATTTTATTTCTTCATTTTTAGTCAAACTTGGTATACTTTTAGTAAACTTTCAATAAATTTTTAGTAGATTTTTAGTAGGCTTTCAGTACACTTTTAGTACACTTTTAGTACACTTTTAGTACACTTTTAGTAGAGAAGAAGAAAAGACACGCGTAGTGAATGAAACAAGAGTGCCTTTTCTCTTTTAACTTGCTCGTTCTAGCGTTAAATATGATACAAATGTTATCATCTCTTCTATTTCATTTCTTCTCTTCTTGCACACAGGACACGAGTCACCCTCTAAAAGTCTCATCCCTCTCACCCCCCGAAAAAAACCCAGTGACTAGTTTTCTCTTTTCTTTCTTTCTTTCTCTTTCTCCACTCACTGAACCCCAGAGTTGCGAGGATGACGGTATTAAGGGCAGCTCTATTATTCGACTACCCACCACCTTCACCACTCGACTCTCCGCCTCAAGAATCCTCTAATTTTTTCCCTTCCCTTCCGCTTCATCTCTCAGTCTCTATATACTATGCTTCTCGACTTCTTTATTCCATCGCATCACATCGCCTCGTTCATTCTGTAAACAAGCTCAACCTGACCTCCTCGCTCAGCTTCAATTCCAATTATGCGGCATTTTCTATATACCACGATTTCACATGATTAAAACAAATCCATTTCAACAGAATTTCAACTTTGAATTTTAATACTTTTTTAAAAGTGCGTTCCGACATCCGACGATCTTGACAGTGTGGTCGAGATTTAAGAATTGTTTATTAGGAAAAACACCAATGAATAGATTTTTGATTGTTGGATCGCTGAAATCAATAGCAATGATAAATGCACAAAATAAACGAAATCATGAAAACAACAAATCCGTTAGACTTCCATTGTAACGAATTTTCAGCACTAAATTTATTTAATTTTCTACGCTAGAGAAATTTTGCGCTTTATAACCTACATCTAAATGTATAAATGTTTTCCGAATAAAGGTACTAAAATGTTTATAGCGAGCAGAAATCCTTATGCGCTAAAGTTTAGTTGCAAAACATTAATAAACATGTTATAGTTCCAGAGAGAAAACGCGAAAGGTATAGAGGCCGCAATGAGCCAAGCTTCCACACTTCCCCTAATTACATTTTCATACGAACCGTTTTTCCCTTTATTTTCCTCCTGCACAGCGACCGTTTTTCTCTGAGTGAAGCTCCGCAGTTCTTTTCACCCATTCCACATTTGCATCCCTTTTCAACCCTCGTACACTCCTTCTCCCACCACCATTCCACTGCTTTTCTAAACCCTTCACGTTCTCGTCAACTTCTACCTGTGCCACCCTCCCCTTTCTATTTCATCTCCTCCCCAAACCCTTCACCCTTCACCCTTCGCGCTCGTCCAGTCGAGTAGCTTTAATGCGCTGTCGCATTTCTGAATAACAAAAAAGAGAGAAAAATATAGATAATAGAAAAAGGGCCTTGTACTTGCTCCACATGAGCATTCTGTGGAATTTCTTCTCTTCATTTTATTTAATTAACAATTATTCACGAGAAGGCAAATTGTAGTCTCTGTTCATAACGCTGAAAATCTAACGCATTCAATGAAAATGACAAAATTTTCTCCCTTCAGACAACAATATTGCTTTCTTTCTCTTTTCAAAAGTTCAAACTAAATAAGAATGTCTTTCTTTACCTAATTCACATAAGGATTAATTACGCAAACTGTTTGCAGAAATGACATGAATTTTATAGAAACATTTTCTTGATAAAATATATTTTTAAAATAAAGATTTCGATCGTTTTTAGTACAATTGTTAGAGACAATTAATGGCTCAGGACAATAAACTAAAACTAAAGTAGTAAATTGTTCTCTTTTTTCTAACAAAGTGAAAATATGAATTTTTTAAAATTGTTTCTCGAAAGCTATAAAAATACGTAAAAAGGAATATAATGGTATTGCACTTTAGGGACAGAATAATTCAAGACCTCGTGCATAAAAGTGCATATACACATGTTTAAAATACTATTGTTATACTTTTTTTTTTTTTTTTTTTTTTTTTTTTGTGCATTATAATGTTTCAGAATAAAAAGGAAAAAGTAGATATGATAGAAAAAGACACTTGAGAAAAGCAACCTTGCAATTTCACTTTTACGACATTTCATTTTACTCCACCTTCGCTTTTTTCCTTGTGGTAGAGTGAAAATCGTGTCAATAACTTTTTCTTTTATGTCCTACATGAAGTTAATATTAGGATTTCCCGAAAAGCAGATAAATTTATAAACAAAGTATATTAATGAATTGTAATCGTATAAGATTATGACTCCGTCTATAGGATTGAAGATCGCATTTGTCACCGATCAAGAGGATATTTCTTTTGGATAAAAATTTTGTACGTTGTATTCGAGAAAATGGAAATAAAATTTTAGAAAAGAATACTTGAAAACAAAGTTGTTTTTGGTGACTCATTAGGTATAAGAAACAGACAACTCAAGTATATATCTAGATGTGTGCCAGCTGAGTAACCATTAGATATTCCTGTAGAGTGTAGACAATTGTTAAAATAAAATATAACTATAGCTATTTACACAAAAATAATATCTATAGCTATTTGCGACATTCATCTCCCCAAGAAAGAAAAATTTCATATCAGCAATACAGTCAAAAAGGAATTTTACCTTTTCCGCAAGATTCAATAAAAAAGAGGAAAAAAATACACTAGCAAATATAAAGAATCGTACATGCATAAATTCAATCGTTCGAATTGGAGGGCACAGTAACAGAAATGTAACGATGAATCTATTCAGCAAGGCAGAAGAACTTGCTTTTATTATGCACTGAGCATATGATCAGGGTGGATGAAAAAGTACTATTTTTAACACAAATACTATTTATCAAGATTCCTATATAATAACGGAATTGTCATTAACCCAATTTCGAGTTTAGCGAAATCTTCCATTATAACCGAATTTCTATTTGATTCAATCTCTGCAGAATTAACTTGACATTAAATCTTTAATTAACCAAATCAACGTCTTAGGAATCGTGGCTTTCGTCAAATCTGAATTAGACTTTTTTTGTTGTTTTTAAAACAGAGGAACAGTGAGAAAGGAGAATAATCAGATGGATCGACACTTGTAGGTTTCCAAGAAGTCGTGACTTTATTTGACGAGTGGAAATTATCGAGATCATTACTTAGAATTGTGAATTGATATTAACCCTCTGCTGATGCTAATAACTTATCGCCCACACTATCGCCAAAGAACGTAACTCCCATAGTCCCCACCAGGCGTCTAGAATGACGATTTTTGACGATAACGGTCGTTAGCATCAGCAGAGAGTTAATAGTTCGGTTTTTGTTAAATAAGAATAAGCTAAAATTAGACGGTTTATTAGGAGCCACTGTAGAAGAGTTTATTGGGTATAGTAAGCAATTGGAGGAAAGTACCAGGGATTATAGTAAATTTCTGATTTTGTGTCTTAAAAGTAGCTTCGAATGGGAGGCTGTGGAGATTTGCGAAGCTACTGGCGAACCAATGGAAAAATCTAATTAAACCCCACGATGTATTTAAAATTTGTTGATATCTCTTACTCGGGTGTTTTTCCTGGGTCGCTTATTATGAATCTGAAGTCAGATTTACAACATTCAAAATGGAGGACAAAACTTTTAAAAATCCAGTTGCATTCTTGACATGAAGTCTTCCCAGACTGTTATGTTTCCAGTATAATGTTATGCTCCCAATAGAAAAATTTACTATTTATTTGATGAATAGAGGTGTTTTTTTTTGTAAGAATTAAGGAGTTAAACTCTAGAGTGTATAAGGTAAAGACACGATCCAGTTAAACGCTGAAGAAATAAGGTAAAATTTATCAGCTGTCGATAACTTATTCTCGGCTGGTGGTAAACCAGAATGAATCATAGTGGCGCTTATATCGCTGAACCATGAGACTACTGGACAAAATGGATACTTATTCTAGTTCCTTAAACCAAATTTCCGTATTCCTGGTGCTTTTGAATAATAAAAAAACCAATAAGAACCCCGAAACAAATTTCGAATCTTGAGACAAAACTATTTTCCACATGAAAAAATATAAATTCAACTGAAATTGCAATCAAAAATAATCTCGGTGTTGTATGTAGAAAGAAAAAAAAGACATCGCATTGTTTGGACAGCTATAGAGAGAAGAAATTGTGTAAGGGTGAGTGTCAAAGGGGCACAAGTGCGTAGGTATTTGTTGAGGCCTTGGGAGTAAGCATAGTGTAAAAGTAGAGCGGGGGTTGCGAGTCGCTTGACGAGCGTTGGGTGTCGGTGATGCTATGAGTGGAATGGAGAGAGAGAGAGAGAGAGAGAGAGAGAGAGGTGAGGCTTTGGTGGGCTGGTATGATGACAAAACATTCGCTCTGAGCTTCCGACGAGGGGTGAGGTAGGGGGCAGGGGGGTGCGTCAGAGGCAGCAGAGTTGGGTGAGTTCGAGAGTAAGGGTGAGGGTGGGAAACGTGAGCGCCAGGCGGAAAGAGAGTTGGGGGCAGTGAGAGAGAGAGCGCGGTGGTTCGAAAGGCGAGGAGGCGTGAGGGGTTGAGGTTTATATCCATCATTTTGTATTTCTCGCAGACATAAAAATCTATACCATTCCCGAGCTATCCTCTGCCTCCTGGGGAGGTGTGGGTGGGGTTGTAGCGTCCTTCATCCCAGTGCACCTAGGAGCTCCCAATAACCCCTTCTACCGCACACAACACTCTGAAGCCAAAAGCACAGGGTGAAGCTACGTTTCCTCGCTCTTCAGCTACTGTATACGAAACGAAAAGAGCGCAAATAGCGCATTTATTGTATGATGATCTGCATTCTCTGCTCTCATTTCGTTTCTGGACTAAACTTTGGTTCAGCTTTCCGTCGTTATCAAGGTAAATTGTTAGCGAGCTTCTAGCTTCATCTGGGTAGTCTTTTCATGCTCCTTGCAGTCGAATCGATGTCTCATCGATTTTTGTCTTTTGATAGGTGATCAATTTACGAAAATTTATTTTATAATCTACGTTCGACGATATGATCGAGATTCTTAGCCTACTATTAAGTGCTTGGTACTGCGCGTGTATCAATGAATAGATTTTTTTGAATTAAACGTCGGCTGAAAGTTTGTCGTACCACTCGCAGTGTTTCGGTCCGAACTGCTAACAACAACTTATCTTTCCGTAAAATAATTTTTCGTAAATTGTTCACACCTACCCTAGGGTCGATTTCAGTAATCCAAGTTCCACGATCTTGAATAGTTGTTGACGATTGTCGATGTTTTTAGTTTACTATTAAGTGCATTAAGAAAAACACCAACGAATAAAGCTTTTTATGAATTTTAAACCTCGGTCGAACAGGTCGAACTTCGACAGGTTTGTTTCTGCTGTATACCATTTAATGAAAGGAGAAAATCTCTGTCTTCTAGAAAGGAAAAAATTTCATGAGAGAAAAAAAGGGAACCTTAATTATTCTCAGTAGTGAGAGGTCAACTCATCTATTGTATGCTCTTCGGTGTTAGTCTACATCGACAGAGATAGCATCTCGGAGGTGGGAGTTGAATTTTTCATCTGACCACGTCGAACCAATTAAAGCGGACCACGGTATCCTCCTCCTACACAGTATCCCTCTCCCTTTATTTCCGCCCTGCCTCTATCTTTTTTCTTGTCTCATCCACTTTGTTCAGTGTGCTGCTTCTTTTCTCTCACTTGCTCACGCATTCAACCCTTTCACTCTCTCGCTCACTGTATTTCTCCCTTTTCTCTCCATATATCTATATATACATTATGCTCTTTCGCTCGCTCTTGCAACTCGTTGGATTTTTTCGCGTCACGAAGCGGTGTAATTTATTTGGTCGAGCTACCACCGCCGAGTAGGAGAAGCAGAAAGGAGGGGGCTGTCTAGGGGTAGGGTTCGGTTGAAGCATCCTGGATGAACGTTGTTGGGTTGGAGGCAAAAGTGGAAGGGGTGGTTTCAGTTTATTTTGTGGGTCCTACCTACCCGCTCGTCACTGTCCAACACCGTTGGTTGGTCGCTCGGTCTCTCGACGTGTATTCTTCTTTTTTCTGCTTCTCCTCTCTTTGCCTCTTTTTTTTTTTTTTTTTTGTTCTCCCAATCCACCCTCACCAGTTACCCTATCCAGGACTTGTCCAGTGTGTCTATATAATATTAAAAACTCTGGATTTCCTGATGGATATGTCCTGCATTTTTCGATTACTATACGCCGGCTTTACCACCGAGCAAAACTGACGCCTAAAGCCCCTCGTTTCTCTCTCTCGCTCTCTCTCTTTTTTAACCTGACTCTTTTTCTTTTTTTTCTGTCTGTCGAGTTTGGGCGCGATATCACGCATAAATCGTTGAGAAAGTGGCCGCGCCGTGAATTACAATTGGAAATAGAAAATCAGACTTCTTCACAGATTTTCCACGATTTTCAGATCGGTCTTTAATTACTATCAAGACAGTGAATTATTTTCAGGAGCTGGAGGCATTTTAAAGCTTTTTATTTTCTCCTCTTTATACTCTCGGTAATTATAGTCGGTAGGAAATGATCAAGGGAGAGAAAGAGAGAGACAGACGATTTGATGGTGAGAAAACTGTTTCATGAACTTGGTTGAGAAAAGTTTAGTTTGTGAATTTCGGTCCCGGATTATATATCCACACCGAGAAAAAAGTAATCTTCATTCTCGCGGATTTCTCTTATTTTAAATGAAACTTATATATTACGTAACAAAATACAATTTTATGTGGTGAATTCCGGCTTCTTTAAATGCTTATTCCAGAACACCTAAATTTCCTATTTCTTTGGATTACTTTAGATAATAAAATTCAATAAAATCTTATAACAGAAAATTTCTGGATGCTACCAATCTCGGATCATAACTGTAATTTAAAGCTTTTTTTTCCCAATGTGTGAAGAGAAATAATAGACAAATAAAGGGAATGTCATTAAAATTTGAAATGGATTCGTAAGATTATCTAACCGTTCGTAACTAGGCGTTTGTTAATGTAAAGTATGTAAAAAGAAAAGTTTAATTAAAGGTTAAATGAATTCGATAAATGGCCATAAAACACGTGCTTCGATTATAGTATATATAAGAAGTGTTGGAAAATGTTCCACATGGAATGTTGAAATTGTTAAAATGTCCTTGTCCTTTGAATGTAAAACGCTCCTATAATTATAACTTGTTTGAAATAACACCATTAAGAAACGATTCAATGTCGGTATAACATTAGCATCCAAAGAGGGAACCTATTTGGTAGAAGGAGGTAACCTGACCTAACTTCACTTCCGCAATACTTTGAGCGTGTTGGCTTGGCATTTCCATCTTTCGTCGTACCGGTAACGGGGTGCACCGCTGCTCCTTTGATTAATGTTTTCCTGAGGGGTTTGAGAACTACGACTAGCACAACCCCCTGAATAGAGAAGGGGTGGAGAGAAAAGGGGACGAGGAGTATAGTTCCAAGAGTAGAGCGTGGACACGCGAGAACTCATTTCCGGTAAACGTTCTCTCTCTCTCTCTCTCTCTTTCTCTTTCCATTCACACCTCCTGTTTTACTTTATTTCCACTTCCCTCCCCCTCATCACTCACTTACTCCCACTCATACTATTATTTCTTTTCTTCTCGTTTCGTCGCTATTTCAATTGTTCTACCACTGATCACTAAATTTATCAGAATTAGCTTTTCAATATGAATTCTTTAAATTCTCAAGTGAAGGGAAAAAGCTATATCTCATAATCGGAAAACTTCAAGCGGTAACAAAAGGAAATTGTAAATTTAAAATTTAGGGAAGATTCGTAAAAAAGACATTTTAAGACTTTTAATTATATCTTCTAAACTTGTTAGCACAATGCACTAATTATTTAGTATTCAAATTTAATTAATTATAAAACCCTTGTTGCAACTATTGGATAAATTAAATTGTCTTTTTCGATTGATTTTAGAAGATTCAGTAAAAATTTGTAATGTAAGTAAAGTAAAGCACTACATGTTGAGTAAAACTAAAATTTCCAAGCATGAACTTTAAATAAAATAAAAAACTTTATTCCACGTTCTTTTATTGGATGTTGACGGTGTGATAGAGGTTTTTAGTTTGCTATTAAGTGCATTGCACTGCGTATTTACTATAGGAAAAACACCAATGAATAGACTTTTTACGAATTAAACTCGAACTAATGTTAAATTAAAATTTATTCTCAACAAAATGACAATCCTCAACTGGATCACATTCTACTTCCTAATATGTGCGGTTCTATATTTTAAAAAGTTTCCTTTAAAAAATCCAAATAAATGACATTCTGTCTCATCTCCTTGGTTTATTTATACCCTCAAATAATAACAAAGTTAATTTAGTACGCAATTAAGTGGAAAATCAATTTAACAAACATTGATTTTACGACAGTTTCGTACAAAAAGTTAATTGTTATTAAATAACAAAATTTGCTGACTTTGGCGCCTAATCATCAAATTTCGAGGGAAAAGCTAAATTCCCAGGTGGAAAATAAATAAAAAAAAAAAGTGAAAAGAAATTTTTTTTTCAAAGGGTTTCTCTTTTTTGCCAGTTACATGGTTCGAGGTGACAAACTGTGCGGTTCACATCAACTAAAATGTATAATTAAAACCATGAAAACAGGCGGCAGCGCCCCAGGAGCCCTCGAATTAAATTAGATTATTTGTCCCGTCGCTCCTTTTCGTTTCCCTAGTATGCGCTACCACTTTTTTCATTCAGGTTTTCCCTGCCTCTCGTTTAACTCTTTGCTTGCGATTTTAAATGTTTGTTTTGTTGGGTCTCTGACCACAACAGTGTATTTAGAATTTCTCCATTTTTTTAATTCAAAAATTCTAATTATCTAAAAATTTACTAAGCCATAAAATTACTATTAATTTTTGTAACGAGCATTCAATTTTTAATTCAATTCGATACATTCATTTGCTTTAAAAAATTTCTCTAGACTCCTAATTGAACCTGCATTTACGGACAATTGGCGAATTTAATCATTCAAAATCACTCTTTTTATATGGAAGCAATAGAATTTATTAAAAGTATGTATACCTTAGTAGGGTTCATGGAATCGTTTGGGACATTCTACTCGGGGGTTTTTTGTATTACTGATTATGAATTCTAGGTCAATTAAAAAAATTCAAAATGTCAGATGATTTAGGGAAAGGATGAAATTTTACCCTTCTTGGAAAACGGAGAGTTAAGTTAGTACTCGTATTTGCCTGGACCTTATTAACTAATCCGCAAATTGATGTAATTTATACAGATCTACTAAAATCGCGATAATGGTAATTTTAAGGATTAATAGCTTTCAAGTAAGTGTTAGGCAGCTATTCGATTTGTATATATTATAATTATAATGTTGGTAAGAAATTAGGTTTACTCACGTGGGTGAGTTTCTCTTCTTTCCGCCTTTTAGGATCGCTTTCAAGGTCTGGGGTGCGGGTGCGAAATTTTTCCGGCGGTGATGAGGATCGCCTGAGTTCAGTAATGGTAATTGATTTACGGTCCTCGGGCGTCGCAGCAGCGCTTCGATGTTGCAAATCCGACGATTTAAGAAGTGCTTGCGCCTGTGCTTGAGCAGCTATTGCCGCCGGATGAGCGGGGGGTCCAAGATGTGGTGGCACCCCGGCTATTGCGGCAGCCGCCCCCGCAAATCCCAAAAATCCAACAGGCGACATTCCTCCCATTTGTTGAGCTTGGATTTGTTGCTAAAGTAAATTGTGTACACTTTTTATTATTCATCAATCCTACCTGAAGCATTTTTTGTAGCATCATCATTTTGACATTTTAGTTTAACTATATAGATATTACTGCTTCTGATGTAACATACCAATAATTGTTGCAGACCTTGTTGTTGCATTTGCAAACCCTGCTGCTGCAGTTGCTGCTGAAAGGAAACAAAATTTCATTTTTAATTTTCTCTCTCGCAAGCGCTCTGTTGTTGTTACAGTTTTCCAATTCAAGCAATATTTTTTACACTTACACTTGATAATAATATATTAATGAAATTAAATAAGAAAGAAAAGTCAAAAATTAAACCACGTGGTCGTAAAGAAAATGAAAATATATTTTCAGTTTAGAAAATAATTTACCCCAATTATCGCATTGATTTCCGTGGGAGTGACTTCCTTGGCCCTTTCAACAGCTCTTGCCACTTGTTGTTGATGCTGCAACCCATGCTATTATTATCGCGTTGTTGTCTCTTTCGATCAGGATAAATTAAAATCATAAACGTGATAAATCTATTTACTCACCTCTTGTGCTAAAAATGGAAGTAATTGTGCAATAATAGCATTCAAACGTTTTGCGATCTCCGTCTGAAAGAAGAACAAATTTTTCCTATATTAGAAAAACTTGTGTTGGTCAGTCGAGGTAAGGCTGTTCTGTATTTTTTTATTCTAGACAAATAACATAAGTTTTTCTCTGTTCAGATAACGTATTTTCCTCTTCCTCTTTCCAACGAAAATAACATACAATTGTCTTCCTTCAGGTAACGCTAATCTAACAAAAATATCATTTCTTTTAAATAATTTGCATATTTACCATCTTCATACGAACAATTAACAGGAGGTTCAAGTGGTTAACTATTATAGAGGTGAATATCTTAACCGCGAAACAAAGCTCCCGAGATTTTATTATCAGTAACTTATATTTAGTAGGTAATTATAAAATTATGATTCTAATGAACAGTACAAAAATAAAATAAGACAAAAGTGATTTTATTGCACTGTTTATATAACAGTTCGATACTGATCGTGACAAACCGGAGTTTAGGAAGCTCAACCTAAAAGTAAACACACGTAAAAACCGCTATTCAATACCCCTTGAATTTTACTCCAGGAGAACTTCACTCGCTCTTAGATTATTTTGTAGAAAATTACGTCATTGGATTATAATAACGCATCCAAGAGGCATTTTGCCTCGCTAACCTCAAAGTACATCAAGAAAAAATAAGAGAGTTACTCACATATTCTTTTTAAAAACAATTATCCATTGGATTTTGGAAAATAAAAATATTAACTAAATTAAAATATCAATATAATACAAAAACTAGAATTACCAACAACTGATAAGAAACAAAACAATCGCAAATCACTTATTTATAATCGTATTTTAAAAATTGACATTCCGTTTAACTATAAAGTTATTATAACCAATTATTAAAGATTTTGATAATATTATATTTTGATAAAATATTAAATTACATAATTTGCTGCGATTCCAATGACAGGGTTGCCACAAAAATTTAATTTTCTTTTTCCCTGACTTTTTCCTGACTGATTTTGACTTTCTCCCTGACCCTGAAGAAGATTCTGATTCACTCCAAAGATTATTAGATACTCAAAAAAATATTCTAATTATACATTTATTTACAAATTTCTTCAAAAGTAAAATTATTCGAAAACATTAATAACTTCTTTTTTTAAATAAATATTTAATCATTATTATACCATAAGAATTAAAATTTTCAAAACATTCAAATTCAAACCTTAAACAATTTTCAAAAAATTGTTATAAAACATGAAGAAAGCGACTCGATTTCTTCATGTTTTATAATAAATTTAAGATGAGAAAATAATTGAATTCTTGCGACAAATTTTAATAAAATTTTTTTTAAAGAATAAATTCCTATGAAAAAATTTATTTCTGAAAACAATTATTGAATTCTGGAGAAAAATAATTATTCTTTATGAAAATAATTAATTTCTTGCGAAGAATTTTTATTCTTTTTTCTTTTCTTTTTTTTCTTTACTTTTTGAAAATAATTAAATTTCATTAAAAAATTGAAAATAATTGAAATCTGACGAACAATTTAAAAAAAAAAACTTTTTAAATAATTAAATTCATTTGAAAATGTTTATTTTTGAAAAGAATTGAATTCTTGGGAAGAATTTTATTAAAATTTTCTAAATAATTGGATTGCTTCGAAGAATTTTATTTTTTACGAAAATAATTGAATTGTTTCGAAGATTTTTACAAAGATTTTTTGAAAGTAATTGTATTCCTAGGTAAATGTTATATATTTCACCATAATAATTGTATTCTATGATTTAATTTTATTACAATTTTTCAAATTTTTATAAAGCATTTTATCAAAATTTTTTTTTAAATAATTGAATTCTCGCGAAAAATTGTATTATTTATGAAAATAATTGATTTCTTTAACTTCAATTCCTTTAAATAATTGAATTCTTAAGAAGAATTGTATATTAAAAATAATTGAATTGTATAGGAAAATTTTATTTAAATTGCAATTTTACTAACTAAATCTTGTAAAGAATTTCGTTACCATTTTTTTAAATAATAGAATTTTCAAGAGTATTTTATTTAAATTTTTCGAAATAATTAAATTTTTCAGGACTATGTTTTTCAATTCTCTGAATATATTTGAATTCATTCGAGAAACTTGATTAGAAAATTAAAAATAATTGAATGGAACCAATGTTCGTTTTATAAAAAAATTGCTAAGTAATTGAATTCCTGTGAAACTTTTATTAACATTTTGTTTAAAAATGATTGAATTCTTTTGAAAAATTATATTAAAATAGTAGATATTAAGAATAATTGAAATAAGGAAAATTTTTGAAAATAATTGAAATTTTGCCAAGAATTTTATTAAATTTTTCACGAAAATAATTGAATTTTGAAGAAGAATTTTATTATATTTATAAAGAAAATTGAAATTTTGACAAGTATTTTTTTTAAATTTTTGAACATATAATTGAATTTATACGAAGAAGTTTATCACTTTTGAAAATAATTAAATTTCTGGAATCGCAGTTGTTCTTAAAATTTCAAATTGAAACCTTTTGAAGTTCACCTATATACTTATGAAGATTGTAAATGCAACTCTTTTGAAATTTAATTAATTTTGAAATTTTTAAGTAATGTTATTCTTTAAATAATTTATAAATAATAATTGTATAATAGTTCTTCAAGAATTAAGTTATTTAATATTTAATTAAGTTACTGAAAAAGAAATTATTGTCATAGAAGTATAGAAGAAATTGAAGGCTTTGTATTTCTTGGCAATTTCATAGTTTATGAGGCAAACAAAAAAGACTCAAAAATTCGGAAATTTCTTATATATTCTACAAATTTAATTTTTTCCAGAGTACTTTTAACAAAATTCCCTGACTTTTCCCTGACCTGTGGCAACCCTGAATGGTTAATAAAAATAAGAGTTCGATCAAAAATTTAAGCAAAGATAAAACAAAAAATCGAACTAAACTAGTATTGTTTTCAAGTTTAATTGCAATTGTTGTCCGACATAACTTACATCGGAGAGTCGAAACGCAGTTTAGAAAAAGGAATTAAAGAACTTTTCTTTAAATACAGAAAATATAGAATTGTAAATGAAGACATTTCTACGTTAGGTACTATCGATGGAGAAAGATTTCCGTAAAATATTTTTTTAAAATAATAAGAACGATTTCGGTAATCTAAATCTTCAATAAGATGTTGACGGTGTGTTCGAAATTTCTAGTTTGTTATCAAGTGCATTGTGTACTGCGTATTTATTAGGAAAAACACCGTGAATAGATTTTTTCTACTTTTTCAAAAAGATTCGTAAAAGTTCCCTCTATAGTACTTTATTAAACTGCGTAGTTATTCTTAAGTGGATAATTAAAAAGTTTTTAAACAATTTTTTGAGAATTGCGCTAAATTGCAATAGGATGATGTCCTTCAGGTTGTATATGTAAAGGTTTTTTTCGACACCAAACCCGGAACTCGAAAGAGAGAGAAGCCTCGATTAAAAAATTCGTGGACTGACCAATTGCTGCACGTAACCCACCTTTCCGCCACACCTCTCTTTCTCTCTCTCTCGCTCATTCTTTGCGTTCCTCTTGCTGTCATGCATATATACATTGACTATATCTATCTGTCCGGGCTTGGTGGCCGGACGGTTAAGGGTAGGTGGGAGTCTAGGGTAAGGGGAAGGGGAAGGGGGGGGGGGGGGGTACGCTTTTCCTGGTCCCCTCTTTCCACCATTTCCAACTCTCACTCTGTCTTTATTTCTCTCGACAGTTTTCACTCTTTTTTACCTCTCTTTCGCGAGCACACTCGTATATACGTAGAGAGCGTGTTCTCGCGTTCTTTTATTTGGCCCTCCAGGGATGGCAGTGGAGGGTTGAGTGAGTGAGTGAGTCGAGCAGAGAGAAAGAGTGAGAGGTGGAGAAGGGAGGGCTGGGAGCGATGACATCGATTTTTTACCCGTTGCTAATCTCAATGTTACCCCCTTTATCCGCCCTTTCACCCATCCAACCAACCACCCACCCTACACCCTCCTCACTCCCACAACGTTCACAACTCCCTTCCAACCTTCTTCTCCCACCAAAGCATTCACCATCCGTTCTGCGGGTAATGTGCATGTGCATCGGGCACATTCGTGAAGGAATAACCATTTTTCCGGACAATACTTGCGCGAGCACATGACTTTTTTACCACCTCGTTTTCATCTTTTTCTCTAGTTTTTCTCCACCCCTGACTCACACACACACACATATATTTATTGCGTAGCAAAATATGTAACACTACAAATATGAATATATGTATTTGGTCCTATGTTGTATACATATTTTTTTTTGCAAAGAGAAATTGAAATGACAGTCGTTACTTTTCCAGGCCACCATTTCGAGCTTAGCATGTTTACGTTTGGCCTTTGTGCTTTGGTAGAAAACAGAGAATGTACCTTTTTAATAGTCACCGTAACGTAATGGTTTTGTATCACAATATTTAGTAAATTATTTTATTTATTTCATAAAATTAAAGTGGTACAAATATTTCTGAACCAGAAACAACGACAAGTAAAAAGAATTTAGAAAAAACAGGAGAATAGCGTACAAAAGATGAAAATCCTAAATGTCGGGAAAATAAAGAGAAAAAGGACGCTGCTGCAGAAGAAGAAGAAGAAGAAGAGCCGAAATGAAGCGAGACGAGGGTGGCAAAAATTCCCAAGAGCAGAAGACGGAGAAATTGTTGACGGTAAAGGGGTCTTGCAATAGAGTAAAAAGGTACAAAAGGGCAAAGTCTAACTTCGCAAGGGAAGATTGTTTTCATTCGGGAATTAAATTGAAAAGGATTACAGAAATGCGCCACGAAAATTTATATTTGTCTCGACAACCACTCTCTTTCAACATTTTCACATTTCAACTCCCACCACGCCCCTTCTCTTTCTATATATATAAAGCAAGTGCCTACTCCACAAATGTCATTAAACAATTATCTCGCGCATTAATTACACAATCTTCAACTGCCTCTTCGTATTTCTTTTTTTTTTCGAAAAAAGAGAATCCTGCCCTTATTTTTTAATTGTGTGTCAAGCACCAGAAAGCCCGAGCAATGCTTTTTTGTAAGATTGGGCCTGGGACTCTAACCATAATTCGTTTTATCTAGCTGACAGTTGATTCCGGTCCATGTGCGCGGCTAGTATTTTTGATTGGTGTTGGTGTTAAACGTCTGCTGGTGCGCGAAACCACCTTTGGTTTTTGGTCTTGGTTACAAAAAGTATATGTGTCAGTTCAGGTATAATGAATATAGTAATAATTTTTGTGAATTGCATTCGGATTGTTGTCTTAAGGGACGATTTCGATAATGTATAAATTCTACGATCTTCTATTGGATGTTGACGGTGTGTTTGCTATTAAATACATTGCACTGTGTATGTATTAGGAAAACCACCAATGAATAGACTTTTTTTTTACTTAAATTCGAACTAATGTTCAATTAAAAATAGTCGCTCGCCATCGTACTCTGAATAGTACATAGCTTTATCTGTTGTAAATTGTAATAGTTAACTGTTCAATAAAACTTGGGGTGGACTTAAAAACAACACCTTTTTCTCCCTCTAGAAACTGGGTATATTTTTTAATTTAAGTACTAATAATTATCAAGTCTCTTTTAGTAAAAGTGACAACCGGAAAAATAAGAAAAAAGTTCATCGATACCGCGACTATTTAGTGTAATTTTAGGGTAATCTCTCGTCATCGCACTCTCACCCTATTGAGCAACGCCCCTTGGGATATACAAGAGTGAGAAATGATCGTCCGCTAATGCTAATGAATATCGCAGCTAAGAGAGAGAGAGAAGGTGTTCGTTCGGGGTTTAGTTCCAGTTTTAGCCTTGCGCTTATATGGCAATAGGGTCGTAATGGAATGGAGGGTCGTAGGCTGCTTTTAAGAAGATTGCTGACGAGGGACCGTCGTTAATTAGCCAAAATTACACGATTTCCTGACCAATGCTATAACCGACACTTTGAACCCGAACCTCCTGTCACCTGATCATTAAACAGTGTAGTATTTACTTTTTAACACAACCAATTATCCCTTATCAAATATCTTCCGAATTCTATATATACTTTAAATAAAATCAAATACGCTATTCAAGGTGCAATAGCGTTCATATTTTTATTAACTATAGTGATGTTAACTGGAGTCAATTGACTTAACTTTCATAATATTAAATTCTAAAATCTACTTTTATGATCTTTGTGCAGTATCATATAGTCGCAATTATTCGGACCTTCGAAACCTGAATTTGGTTTTTGATACTGTTCGTAAATCAGAAAATGAAGTAAACAAGAAGGAAGCAAAATTACTCACCTGTTTAGTTATTTCTATGTTGAAGCCACAGGACATCTCGTAATACTGAAAAAAGAATGATAATCATTAATAAAAAGTTATAAAGCTAATGGATAATAATTAAAAAATGTTTTACTCCTATTCTATTGAACACTAAATACTTTTTCGATACAATTCTATTTAGAAATTTATTGTTTCCTTTTGATTTTACTCCGAAGTCCTAATTTATCAAACCTGCATTGTCATTTTGGTGATCTAATGCCAGACCCAACTGCTTTTAATTTATTTTTATCCCTACATCTACTGCCACCTTTGGGAGTTGGAGTTTACGGACCTTAATGTCGTACTAGATTTCGCAACTACCGTTTATGAATATACACAATAACATTAATGCGGATTTACGAAAACAAAATATTAGAAAATATGTATTTACCGATTCTGAGTGTGCGGCTAAAACTGAAAAGTTTGGAATAGTTAAAAAAAATTCATCAAATAAACTCATCGAAGTTAAATAAAAATTTTTGTAATCCTCTGTATATGTATAAATTGAAAGACTGCGCAGGTAGTAATACTGAAATTTGTTTATTTCCATTGACAAACTATAACTTGAATTTCCTCTGGCATGAGACTCTCCAGCTATACCTTTTCATCCGCATCATCGAACAAGCACTATATTTGAAATTTCGAAAAAGCCGAAGCATCATATAGAGAAACAATATTGAATAGAAAACGTATCAAGCTATGCAGACCTGGTTTGAAGATTCACTTTGGTCTATACTATCATCTCTGTATATCAGAATTTGTAAATATACCGATATAGATATGTCGAGAACTTTTTACATAGCTCGGCGAGTGGAATTCAATACAAGAGTGGAAAAAAGGGAGTTCGTGCTGATAATTTCAACCTTATGGTAATTCAATAAAGATTTTCTCTGCAGTCTTTAATAAGGTGATGGAAGTCAATATTGTTCTGCTTCTGTATCAATTTGCAAATACATTTTCCTATTTGCCTCGATATTCGATCAACTAGACAGTTGATAATATTCGGAGTTATTTTTTTTGTTTGGCCTATGCTAACTTCTCTAATACAAAGTGAGAAATTTTTATTGCGCCTACACAACGATTTGAAATTAGATGTATAGGATACTTCCGTTTGCTTGGGGTGTCTATTTGGTTTTTCCGTCGGTGGTAAAAGAAAATTGTAGAAAACCTTTCCTGGGCAATAATCGACATCATTATATCTCGACGACAAACCTCCTATGCTAATAAAATTATGATAGAAATGTTGTGCTGTTTAAATAGGTGTGCAAACCGGAAGGACAGCTGTTTAAGCAGTTACCTGTATATGTCGAAAGTAGCGAGACTTGCCGAAATGTTTATTTATTTTTTCCTTTTATACCAATTCCACATAATCTTGAATTGCGGAATCCGAGGTATCTGTAAGTAGATTTCCCAAAAATGCCTATGCACAAAAATGCTAAAATTATAAAACAAAAACTTTTTGAATTTCACGCATTGAACCACTCAATTAATATAAATCATACAAATAGAAAAAATACAGTTAAAAAAATTATCACAATTTAAAATTAATAACAAGAAAACTCAATCCAAAGGGATTATTGCAAAGACTTGAATTCAATTCATTCAGTGTTGTTAAACAGCATAATTTTCTCTAAAAGTTCTACAATATGTGGTGAACAATTAATGAAACCTTACAGTTTGAAATAAAAATAGTAGACAAACGAAAGAAAAAATGACACGAACAATAAGCAGATTCTAATTAAATTCATGTTAATTCTTGAAACTAGAGTCTGATCCTAAAATTAGAATATCGGAGATGTACGTATGAAAGATATTATAGATAGATACTGTTTCTACAAGTATATTAGTTGCCGGTGGCTAACAAACCCTCAACATCTATTTCTCTATCCTCCTCTTAGTTGAATTCTCTCTCTCTCTCTCTATTGCTACCCACTTTACGTCTGTCCCCGGGTTTGAATTCCCTCTCACTCTCTCATTCTCTCTTTCTCTCTCAGTCTCACTCAACGCTCTCTTCGTTTACTTTGGAGATATCGATTACCGGCTCAACTCCCAACCCCATGACCCACCCCAGCTCAAATGCCCCCTGCACTATTCTCCACCCACTCACCCAGCTTGCTGCCTGGTTGCTTGCTTGGTGTCACATCAGTGTAGTAGTTTACAGGGATGTACACAAGCCGCTGGCATAAGGGTGCTTTCTTGGCTAAGGTGATGTTATATCGGGATCTTCGTTCGTTGCAGTTGAGGTCTCACTCTGCCTCCAAGGAGGGACAAACCACTCGCTAAAGTTACGCCTTTAACCTTAAATAGAAAGTGGTCGGGTGGAGGGGGAGCAAGAGGCGAAATGTCGATTTCCAAATAATCACATCGACAGAATTCGACTTCTATGTCCTCCTAAAGTAGAATCCCTTTTCAAAAATTGCAAAAAATACCGGGAAACTAAAAAGAACATTTGTACCGCCGCCAACAATTATATTATTAATTTTAACTTATTGTCTATACTTTACTAACTTTTGTCAATAAGCATCTTTTATGACTTTCAAATATGCCAAGTTTCATTCAATTTCGAGTGAAATTCACTAAAAAATGTTCCCTTGTTAGAGAATCGTATTTGTATAAAGACTAGAATCGTAATTTAAAACTTGAATTAAGGATTTAGTACTTTTAGTGTTAAAAAATGAGAACCAATTCTTTGATCGGGAATGAAATTTAGAAGCACGGCTCTTGTATAGCTCGGCTGTGGTCTTAATTTGTACTCTTTCAAATATGGTTCGCAAAGGGTACTTGGTATATTTTCTGCGTGTATATGGTTTCAATCATAGAGCATGGATAAATAACATCCTGTCAGACAAGTTCGGCTTACGTAAGTGCTGCACATACACACACAGACATATTTAGAATACGAGGGTGTGAATTTACATTTGTATTTGCTCACGAGATATCGAAGGATATATATATATAGAGGAAAAGAGGATGAATCCTACGAATGCAAGAGAAGTCGTTACACTCCGATCGAATCGATTGAAATGAACTGCACCAACCAATCCAATACTTCATTGGGAGCATTCAATTTCCGGGATTAGCACTTTTCAAGCGACACCGTGAAATCGAAGCTCGAACCTCGGTAAGTCAAGTCTGAATAATAGTTTGTAAAGTATTACCCCCCCTGCCCCTCGTTTTTAATATGGTATATTCGAATTTCTTTTTTTTTCCGATAAATATCTCTATTGATGGCATACAAAACCGAAACATACAGCGAGATTGACGTTCCTCTTTTAATAATAACCGCGAGTGTTGTCAATATTTTTTTGTGCGTGAGGATTTTTGGAAAATCTGCGCTCACACATACCTTCGATTCCGCACTTCAAGATTATGTGAGCTTGATAAAAAAAAACGAATTCTTTAGAACTAAAGGGTTAAAAATTAATAAACCTAGACAGATTTTCCCAATTGAGTAAAATTTTGCCAAAAAATAAATAATGTGTTCGTAACAAGAAAAACTGTTACCCTATAATATTGTGTAGATAAAAGAAAAACTTGTATTCGACTCTTATCAAATAATTGTCCTATAAAGTTAATTTTAAACTGTCGTTTATGTGAAATATTGTGCCGTGATACAATCCATAGAGTTCTTAATTTCAATTATACTTTTCTCTCCCACGCAAGTTGTTTATCGAGGTCAACAATTTTTCTGGCGCGAGAGTTCAATGAATACTTGACTCTAACATTCCCCATTTTGTATGTATACATATATATGTTAGTTTGAACATTTACTATAATTTCGGAAGAATCAATTTGCTCTGAATTAATTACAAAGCTGCTTTTGTATTGAATACTTCTAATTAAACCTGTTGAATATTTATTACCGAAAAACGGATCAGATTTGTAATTGGGGAGACAAAGAGAAAAAAAAACTTTCGCTTCGATTTACGAGTTTTAAAAATACCTTCTACAATAATTAGTGTAAAAAAGTATTATCTACTTTTAATAATTAAACCTTTCTAAATTTATCTACTATCAGAAATAAATGTGTAATTGAAAATAATACAATAATAGAATATAATTGAAATTTTTTCAGGAAACAAAACTGAACAATTTTATTAGTTTTCTTTCTTGGAAAAAATTATTTACCTCTAAAATCTGAATAAGTCAACTAATACTAAAAAAAAATAGTCTACCAAATGGTTCAGTTATATAATTGTACTAGAAATTATTTAGTCATATTTCAAAGTTGAGAAAAACGTTCATGAAAAGTACTATAAGAGGAACTTCTGTTCATCAGTTCACTAATTCAGATTTAAAGTTACTTTTTAAGGGAAAAATAAAAAAAGTATACGTGCATGCATTAATATTAAGTTATGCTTATACATACTAGTGCCAATAGTCAACAGTTTACATTCAGTGAAAATTGTGATCAAAATTTGAGTTTACAGTCATTAAAAACTATTTCCATCACCTTCAATATTTCTCGCTAAAATAAACAGTATGATGTACATTGAAACTTGAACAAAAAAAGCTGAAATGCAATTAATATTATGCCACATGCAGACCTTGGATAGATTTTCATTTTCAAAAGAGTCGCGAAAAGTCAATAAATTCGAATATGTATACTTCTAAATAATTTTCTTTAATACAGGGCTCGAACTATAGTTCCGTAAATCGCGCAAAAGTCTGTTTTTTTAAAAAACGTCTATTAAGTCCATAATTTGATTCAAGAAGAATGAAAAATTCGTAAATTGTACAATTTTACTATTTTAGAGAAATTACAAATCATTGCAAAAGTTCAATTATTTTTAAAAGTATGTAATAAAATTCTTATGTCCAAGGCCTGAATTTGGATAATTTTTTCTTTAAAACTACAATAGAACATTTTCAATAAGTTTGAAAAAGATTTTTTTTTTTTTGAAATATACCATATTTACCAGTAATCTGTTGAAACAAATGGTACTAAAAAATGTATAATACTCACGACGTAATCTCTAACCATTGTATAATGCCGTTGCAAGTCATTCTTCTCGTTTGCGAGCTTCTCGAAATCCATTTTCAACCTAGAACGTAAAAAAGAAAAGATAAGTGACACGCGTATTATAAGGTTAGTCAATATATATATATATATATATACGTGTACTCGTGTGTGAATTCGTGTGGTGGTGTTGTTTGCCCTCTCTCGTTCCTTCGCGTTCTGCTCTGGGGATTTTCAACGTTTCGAATTATTCGAAAGCAAGAGAAGTAACCTCCCGGGAGCGTGAACGCTGGTGAATATACCAGAGAAACTTGGGGGTGGAAAAGGAGATGGGGATGGGGGTGGAAAGTACTTTTTTTCTAGAAAAAAAGAAGATGGAGAAAAAACACGACGAGAAAGAGAGACAGGAATAGTATATGACAAATAAAAACAAATTTATAAAAAGAGTAAGAAATTTACAAAAGAGAGACAGACGGAGAAGGAGAAGGAGAGATGTGTATATATATACCTTTATAAAATGGAAAAAGTTGAACTGCATCAGTTTGTAGGGAAGGGTGTCAGAGGGTGTCAGAGGGTGTCAGAGGGTGTTGTGAACGGTGATGGAGGTAAAGGTGCTTTCGAGGCTAAAGGAGGATGAGAAACGTTGGCGTCAATAAGCAAAGCGAAACCGGTGGTGAGGGGGCGAGGGGCGGCGAGCGCAAAGTGCGAAGAAAGAGAGACGGACCGGAGAAAGAAAAGATACAAGGTATATATCAAAATATATCTATATACATGTGGAGAAAAAAAACTCACGAATGGTACTGTTGCTGCATGTAATTGAATTCCTCTTTGATTCTCTCACAAGTGGCATCCACCGTGAACTTCAAACCTCCCGCAGCCCCACCGCTTCCTCCGCCACCCTGAAACAAGACCAAAGAAAAATTCGATTAGTACACACATATATAAAACAATATTCACAACAAGAATATAGCTGCAAAACACAATTTCACAATTTTAAATATAAGTATCCACCTTGACCAAAATTTATAAACTGACTTCTATTTGTCATTCCGTCTCGCCCGAGTAATTTTGTCAGAGATAAATAAATATTAACTTTTCCTTTAATTATTATCAGTGCAATAAAACAAATGTTTAGATGCGTCTATTGAAAGAAAACGACGATTCTTTTGGTGTTCCAAACAATCGGATAAACTTTAGTTTATCTTTAGAATCTGAGGCAATCAAGTTGCTGAAACAACCAACAGGATTCAGATTTTTTTTAGCAATTCGCCAAGGCAAATTTATTAAAATCAATCGAAAATAATTTTGATGATACTGATATTTTATATAAAAATATCCCCGTAATGTATTCTGAATTACAAATTAAATATTTAAAATGATTTACTAATTTAAGACTCAAAACCAAACTGAAAACACTGAATTACTGATATCCCGCACAAATGACGGCAGGTAATTTTTCAATTTAATAGAAACTAACTTTTATGATCCGCAGACATGTTGAAAAACCACACCCGGCATGTATTCTGAACAAATTAATTTTTTCATTTAATTTATTACTAATCAAAGACTCAATTAATTACCAATTTGAAAACATTTAATTACGAACATCTTACTATCGAAACAGGTAACCCAGCTGAAAAAGTTCTATAGAATTTCACTAGAATCATTCTATATATGAATTCTAGTGAATGTTCTACAGAATTTCACTAGAATGATTCTATAGAATTTCTACATGAATTTTACTACACAGTAAAAAGAAAATCTTATTTTAAGGCACGAAAGCTGCCTTAAATTAAGATGCAACATTTTTAAGACAGTCAATGTTGAATTTACGCACGTTTTTCGTATCCTTTAACATTATAGCAGACAGTGTTGAATTTAAGGCATCTCTTAAATTAAGATTTACTTTTTACTGTGTAAATTTTAGTGATTTTTAATTAGAAAAAATTTAAATTCGTGAAATAATATTTTTCAACATTATATTATTGTGTAATTAAATTTTACATTTAATTTATATGAAAAATTTTAGGGAAAAGATTTTAGGAAAGAATTCGAGTCAAATAAGTGAACATTTTACTTAAAAGTATAAATTAAATTTTTTCATAACTGTAAAACATGAAGAAATCGATTAATAAAATCATTATTTTATATTATGAGAATATTGTACTTCTTCAAAATTATTTTTATCATTTCAATTCAATTATTATTTTAAAGAATTTTTCACTAAGATTTTTCTTTAAATCAATTAATTTTCCAAAAAATACTTCGTCAATTTTTAAAATTCATTTATTTACAATATTTAATTTTACAAATTTCAATTATTCGTAAATTCTTCAATTAAATATATATTAGAAAATAAAAACTTCAAATATCTAATATAAAAAAAAATCAATTACACTTTTTCAAAAAAAAATTAATTTCAAAATTCAATTATTTCTAAAAATTCACGCTATATATTGCTTTCAATATTCAATTATTATTATCTGAAATTTTAACTGAGATTGAATTTTAAATTAATTTTTATTAGAAATCTCTATTAGAATTTAATTATTTAAATATAGAAAAATAATTCATTGAATATTTGAATCTTTCTTAAAATTCAAATTCTCATAAAGAATTTTATCAACATCTTTTTAAATAATTGAATTCCTAAGAAGAATTTTACTGTTTTTGAACATAATTAAATTTTGTTAGTATTAATTAATGTTTTTCTAGAAATCCATTATTTTTAATAATTTTTAAAATAGTTTTTTGAAAATTTTCAAATTCATTTGTTTTTAACTAAAATTCATGTTTAAATCAATTTTTATTAAAAGATTCTACTAGAATTTAATTATTTAAATAGAAAAGAATAATGTATTGAATATTTGAATGTTTTCTTAAAATTCAATTCTCATAAAGAAATTTGTCAAAACAAATTTTTAAATAAATGAATTCGTTTGACGAATTTTAATGAAATTTTGAATAATAATTACATTTATCGAGGAATTCAATTAAAATTTTATTAAAAATAATTGAATTTCAGCGATGAGTTTTACTATTTATGGAAATAATTGAATTCCTAAAAAGAATTTTATTATTTAGAAAAATAATTCAATTTATGTAAAAATTTTATTATGTGTAGAAAAATATTTGAATTATATTGCGAAGAAATTTGTAATAAATTTGTAAATAATTGAATTTTTGTAAAATTTATTATTTTATAAAAATAATTGAATGTAAGGGTAGAGTTTGATTAAAAAAAATTTAAATATTTAAATTTTTTGGAAAATTTTATTTAAATAATACCTATAGATATATTGAAAATCATTCAATTGAGGAAAATTTTTGAATATAATAGAAATTTTGCCAAGACTTTTATTAAAATTTTTGAAAATAATTTTGAATTTCGGAGAAGAATTTTATTATTTATAAAAATAATTGAAATTTTCAAGAGAATATTTAAATTTTTTTCAACATAATTGAATTTCTACGAAGAATTTTATTACTTTTGAAAACAATTTAATTTTTCAATCATTTGTAATTTCTCTAAAATTCTCCAAATTATATCGTTCAATTTACGAACTTTTTGTTCTTTTTTAATCAAATTACAGACTTTTAGAAATTTTGTATTCTTTCTTATTAAAAATCACTTAAATTTAGTAGAATTCATGTAGAAATTCTATAGAATCGTTCTAGTGAAATTCTATAGAACTTTTTCAGCTGGGAAGGGGTCGTCCATATACCACGTGGACAGTTTAGGGGGGAGGGGGGGGGGGGGTCAAAAAGTGCCTAAAAAATGTCCACGTGGTATATGGACGACCCATAATTTATCAAATTAACCAAAATTTATTTCTATTATTTCCATAGAACGAATAACTTTCTATTCTGACGAATGATTTGTCAATAAAAAAGAATTTATGAACCCTAAAATAAATTCAAATAAAAAAGTAATCTAATTGTATTATTATAATTATGGAAATAATAAATAATAATCTAATTTTATTGTCATATTATATAGAAATCAATTCAATTTAGGGTAATTCAACGAAATTCCTATATAACATTCTGTTTTGAAAATGACAATATTTTTATTTGTCATATTCAACGATTGTTCGTCGCTTCATTTTGCCTGAGGAGAAATAATTGAGTCGCGGTGGTGGGACAAGTGCGTGAGTAAGATAAACGGTCACGACACAGTGGAAATTAATAACAGCGAGAATTTCGTGCCCTATGCCTACAGCAATAAAAAAAGGAGCATGTACGAAGCATTTTTTTTTCTCTCTCTCTCTCTTTCTTACAACTCGAATAGAAACACGTGTGGTCACGTATTCGTAAATTAGTATAATGGACTCGATCATTAAAATCACATCACATACAATTCAGCCATATTCACACATGTCTTTCTAATTATGTGTATACAATATTGTATAAAAATAATTACTCAGTCAATAATATCCGAATTACATTGTAATGCACATTTTTATTTTCTTTTATAAGAATTTTACATACGATAAGAATGTGTTGTTAATTCTTTCTTGTCATATTGTATTTAATTTTGGATACATAATAATTAAATCATTTTCAATATGCTTTGGCATCTGATTATTTATTTCGATATAGTATAACTTTGAAAATTATTCAGGGAAAGTTATACGTCAACTGTACGTGAATGATTCTCTGCAAGTGAGAATCACAAAATGATAAAAACTGTTTCGAAAAAACTTTGACAGTATGCGAAGAATAATTTTTGTTTTTTTAATTTTTGGACAATCACGAAGAGAATGATTTGGCCACTTGTTGAATTCAGGTGTTATGGAGGAATGGTTAGAAGAGGTGGAGTAAAACCGGGGTCGCTTCACTTGTTGCAATCATCAAACGAAATAGTCATCGAACAGGTTGTTTCAACAGTTAACTCAATTGTATATTTGATACTACCCTTCACGCAGCAGTTTTAGCGTCTATATATGTATATAAAGCGCGCCCCGCGAATCTAAATTTTCTTCCCGCTTACGTGATTAATTGTAAATGATATCACGTATTAAAGACCATTGGCTTTAACTGCAAAAAAAAACTTTTTTCTCGTTTCTGAATTATATATAGGTACAAAATTATTATTCAATACTTTATTTAATACCTTATTCAAATCTTTAATATATTATATTTGAAATCCAATTATTCTGCCAATTGATTAAATATTAGGAAGAGTTTATTAATATTCACGTAATTTCTATGCTTTATTTTCCAAATCCGAAAATATTCGATAATTATTTTGTGGAATGTGCATAATTAAGTACACTATGAGAAGTAGTTGGCTCAAAGTTTATTGTAACATTCTCCAAATACATAATTTTGAATTATTTCATGTTTTTTGCTTTATTGCTTGTGTCTTTTTGCGTCTTTTCAGTTTTTCTTTCTTTGACAAATGCAATATTTTTCTGCATATAATAAAACACGTGAAAAAGTGCTCACGTGTCAACACATATGTAAACAGTGTGTGATTTTGAATTTTACAAACAAGCATATACTCAAGGGATTTGCATGTGATGATGTATATCAGAGGTGTTTATAGAAACCGGTTCACGTTTATATTCATTGGCGCATGTGACAAGTACGTTGGGATAAAAAGGGAATTTAACTTATTTTTACTGTGATGCACTATGATGGAAGGGAATTAAGTCGTCTTCTCGACCAACGTTTTTTCAGTATTAAAATCAATACTGAAAATTAGCCTCCTATTAAGTCGGAACTAATACAAAACAATATAAAAAAAATAATGCCAAACAACTTAGTTAATTTAACTAAAAATTAAAAAAAAAAGTTTCCGATACCGGGAATCGAACCCGAGCCTCCTGGGTGAGAGCCAGGTATCCTAGCCACTAGACCATATCGGAGGATGGGATGCTCCTCTCTCTTTCAT